TGAAAAGTCAATTTAACAGAATAAATGGCGTTTTTATGCCATCCTATGGTGTCGTGATGAAATTACCAAATTTTGCCGCATTTACCAAATTTTATAACTTATTATAAAATCATGTTTTATACTTAATTTTACCAAAATTATTACCAAAGCGCTTCGGTAAAAATTACGGAGCTTTAGAGTGTTCCCTTAGAACAAGAAATACGGCAAATTTGGCTAAATTTTGGTAGCTTTGACTATACTTTTCTCTCAGTGGAGGAAAAAACCTACATCAAATATGAAAGTTAAATGCTTGGTAACGATTTAAAACTTATCCTATAACAACGTAATTATTTTTTGTTTAAAAAAAAAAAACATTTCATAGTTATAAAACCTATAAACTATCAATAACAGCACAATTACAAAAGCACAACTACATTTTTGCACTATTGTCAAAAAAATATTCATTGCCACGAATTTGAATGATGTAATACTAAACCTGATACAAAAAAAAGGAAAAAAATAGAAGGTGTCAAAATAAGATCAATGGTGCCCGAAAGTTAGTAGAGCTTGTATATACGTGAGGTAGGGCATAATTAAGTAATATCTTATAAAAATTCTTATTAAACTTTTTTCATCAATTTTTTTAATACTTTCATTTTAGTAATATTAAAAAAGGTAATTATTTGTCTTAATCAAAGTTTCTGCAATTTTCCCGTCTGCCGAATATTTGGTGCATCTACAGCAGTAGAAAATACTATTACATTTTTCTTTAAAAATATTATTTTTAGTTTTAAAATACAATAATACTTTTAATATTATATTTTTACTATTTTTTAAAGCAATTATCAATATGAAATGCCACATTCTCAGCTTTTTTCAATGTTTTCGATACTTACTTTTATCGCAATTTTTTCATATGAAGATTAAGATTACCCAAATTTCTGAACTCAACAGCTCATGAGAAAAAAAACTCAACACCTCATAGAAAAAAATCTAAAACTTATTTCGATTTCAATACAATTTTAAAAAATTATTTGCTAATTAGCTTCATAGATTTGATTAAAATATACATGCTCAGTTTTTATGTTCTATAAATTACATCTTAGAGTCAAAATATTCCTCAATTAGAATTTGAAAACATTTTTTTCATTTTTCTTCGTTAAAATCTTCCGAACATGGCTCACTTCCAAACAATAATGTTTAAAATTTTCACTTATTTGCAGTTATTTAGATCTAAGAGAAACAGTTATTCATTATTGAAATTTTAACATTTACAAAACATTTATAAAGTCAATTATTAATAAATATGAATAAAAAATATATAAACTACCTTTTGGGGATTTTATATTTTAGTACAAATGTAATTCCGATAATCTAACAAAGTTCTTAGTAGCTATTAGACTGTTTTCAATAATTAAAAAGCACAATTATATTTTGCTTGTAATTGAAACACCAGAAAAAAATATATAAAAGGATCACTGATGTCCAATCTGCATCAAAGAGTTAAACTTATTTGAATAGAAATTTTTTTATCATATTTCACCTGCGTGGAAAGAATCGTACAAACTATTCATTTCTGTTTTATTAATATGATAACTTCTAGTCGTTAATTTATTAATATTCATTGTAAGGGACAGTAGCAAACTGCGAAATTGAATTGTGAAAATTGAAAAAAGAGAAGTACAGTGTACATTTCTAATAATTTTAATATTTAGCAACAAAAAAATATATATTTAGTATGTTTTATTGATACATTTGAAAATTTTCCTTAAATAACTGCTACACTGTTAGAAATTTTATTCTAAAATTACGATAAATAACCGGAAGCAGTCTTCCCATCTAATTAACCGTAAAATTTATGGTAAGGAACATTTCTTACATTTACGGTCTGAAAACCGTTTGCAACTGGTATGGTAAAAAAACCATGAATACAAAACTATATAGTTTTTACGTTTTTTAACCTTTTACAACTAGCATGGTTTCAAAACAGTACAAAAGTTAATTGGACATGGTGCTGCCATCTATGAGTAACGCAGCAAATCTTATTTTATTAGACCAGGGTCACAAATTGGGAAGTGCAGGACACTGGAAACTCTACACCTGTTGAAGGAAATGGAGGAAAGATTGTGGTGTCAACGCTAGGACTCGAATCTCCTTTCTGTTGGTCATCAGATTGACAACAAATAACCGGCAATCATGAGATCGGTCATGAGATTGACATGTCGGTTATGAGATTGACAGATTATCCCTCTCGGCTATAAAATTTTCCCAGTTACCAGGAACTAAGTGGAACTCGGAAGAAAAATTAACATTTAATATTTTTCCTATTTACTATCATTTGTATAAATTCGAATGTAGATTATCTTAAATGCATCAACAAAATTTCTGCTCATCAATTTTTTTTGTTATTTATTCGTTTTATAATTAGCATACTTTATAAACATTTCATGAAACTACCCTCACGCATTAATTTTTCATAACGAGCACTTAAAAGATATTAAAATGAATTAAGTATGAACACCACTATGAAGCTATATGAGAACTTTTACTTGAAAGTACTTATAAAACTGAACCAAATTGAGTTGAAAACGATGCAGGTTTTTCTATTCTAGTACTGATAGCAGTCTACCCATTTGTCAACAGAAATCAATGCTCAACTATGTAGCCATGTGATTTTGAACTCAATACGAAAAGCATGGAAACTCCAAAATCAAGCATTGGGCAAACTAACCTTCGTAAAAGAATTTGGATGAAACTAATCTGCATTTGCGTTACATAAGAGAAAATCCACGAAAACCTCCCAAGATTAGCCCTATTTCAAAAGGAGTCTAACCCATGATCCATCTACTACTGTGGATAGTTTAGGTCAGCACTGGGGTCGGTGCACGCCGGAAGCAGGATTCGATTTGACCATGCTGGGATTCAAATCTGAGTCACCTAATCAGGAGGGGATCGCTCTATCATCTGATCGACCCCGGGCTCGCAAACTTGTATTGACCAACATAATAGCATTTTTTATTTCTATCTTATTTGTTAAAAAAAATTAACAACGTGTACATTACAAAAGTAGTATCTTTTGTACGCCGGGGGAGGTAACGAGAAAATTTTCATAGGAGTGGTTAACAACTAGGTTTAAAACATTGAAGAGGTTTAAAATGACGACTGATGTTTGCTTTTGAAAAGTCAAATGAAGCTACTTTTTATCGGATTTTAGACAATTAGGGGTGTAGTTCCGAAATTAGCTCACCTAAAATATCTAATGTTTACTCTCAATGTAGTAAATGGTGACTGGTGTACATTAAATCTGACGGGTCACAAAATAATCATAAAATAAAGTTCATAACAAATCCTACTTTAGGAGGTACTGAATTGGAGACTGATCGTTCTCTGGTGCAGATCAAAATTACGATCTGTGAATGAATGGATGTATGAATGAGTCTACACTATAAACGGGTTGTGATGTATGTGTGTGACAGAAGTTTAAATTCTTGGCCATGGGTGGCTCCACTGGAAAACAAGAAGAAGCTCACCCCCCTTACCTTAATGACATAGGACAAATATTTTGAGAATTCAGTCAAACCCTAAAAATCCAGACTTATTATCTAAATTCATTAAATATTTTTTTAGCTCGGAAACTCGATACTTTAATCTTCATCGTAAAACAGAATTATATCAAAATGGAAATAATCATATTGTCAAGGGAATTGAGTTCGATAATTTTTATAGTCTAGAAAAGATCAAGTCAGAGAATGAGTTTTCAGTGAAATATGTCAGCGAAATGAGCTGTCAAAGCAAACATAATGTCAACTAAAGTGGCATGTTGATAATCTGAACGTCCTTAATAAACGAGCTTTGTTCAGCATACTAGAAAACGTTTCTGCCTGTGGTTCAAGTAAAAGGGTCACTAACTGAAATCCTTCAAAATGTTTCCTGAAAGATGTTTGATCATAACACTAAAAAGAGAACCAGTTTGCACATACAAGCAAGAAAATGGTTGCAAATACATATTTAAAAATCTGTTTGATTTAAAAATGAAACTGATTTTTCTTACTTATTTGTTAACCACAACATTTTATCAAAAGTCAAATCAATTATGGGAATAAATTTCTTTCAGAAATTTTTATAATAGAGGTTGTTTTATGCGCAAGCAGTTGTAGAAGTCAAGTAGTTGTAGTAGTGTATTATGGGCCAAATTTCAAGCAGTAAAGGGCTTGATTGTGTCTTAGTGCTTCAAAATCCATTCTAATCAAATGTCCCCATGGTTTCAAAGATGAAAATGGTTGGGAAGCGTGTAGCGGAGACAGAGTGATACAACTAACATGTACTTCAACATTCTAAATTGTAGCAGTGTCGTGCATATAAGAGTCTACAGTGTCTTGGAATCATCTCTAAGGATGAATCTCAAACCATAACGTTACCAATCACTCGTGCTGCATAAACCTATCAACATTAAGTTGCTTTAAATTGAGTTTAATGCACTTTTTTTAAATATACAGTCTCTGTCAAAATTATTAGACGCACTATAAGATTCTACGTAAAATCTTAATTATCAGGTGATACTCTACAGCTTTATTGTTTCTACGTGACTGAAACTGGTTTGCACTTGTTTACGTTCGAGTACCAATTGGTATCGAGTATTTATTGCATAAATATAGAATTTATTATATCAGACATTACATTACTATATTGTAATAATTAGATCAAATTATTAGACGCACTATGGTTTTTTTAATAATTACATGTTTTGCACGAGTTTATATGCAATAATTTTATATTTAAACATACATGAAATGGGTTTTTATTTAGGAAATTTTTTATTTTATTTGTATTTATTTTTAACGTATTGAATTACAATGTTAGCCAATTGATACACAAATGTAAACAAGTGCAAACCAGTTTTAGCAGCATAAAAACAATAAAGCTGTATAGTATTACCTGATAATTAAGATTTTGCATAGAATCTAATAGAGCATCTAATAATTGGGCTAGGGACTGTACGTTTACTTGTTATTTATTTTTAGGCAAGTTGGTGTTCAGACCTATGCTACACCAACCTCGTATTTATGCTGGTGCTCCTGCTGGAGTCCATGTGACCACGGTCCATGCTTATGATCCTGAAAAACCAAGAACCAAAGTTGAATACAATTTGCCGAATGTTTTAGATTATAAGAATTTTGTGATAGACAAAATGTCAGGAAACCTGTCCACTGCTTTGCCAATCAACAAAACAGTAGGAGAAACATACCAGGTAAGTTATATTTAAGATAAAAATGTTTATTTTCTTCAAATCTATGAATACATAGGTCATACTAAAACTATCCAAAGAGCTATTTTTATTCTAAAGTTCATTAAATTGCATGAGTTATTTATAATATCTTTATTTTTTATATTTAAGGCCAATTCTCCTTGGCAGTGTGGTAGAATCTAATGTTGTGCTACACTGTTAGAATTCCCATTCTAAAATTAATGTAAAATAAACGGCAACAGTCTACCCATCCAATCAACCGTAAAGTTTACTTTAAAGTTTTTAATTACCGTGAAGTAAAGAACCTTTTTTAACTTTACGGTATTAAAACCGCTTACAACTAGTATGGTTTCCATGATTATAAATATACGGTATAATAATAATACGGTATTTTTACCACTTACGATTAGCATGGTTTCAAAACTATAAAAAAAGATATTTGTTTAACTGAGCATTAGAGTTAGGTTGTGATTCAGTTGTGTTTTATCAAATGAACCGTAGATTGTGGTTTAATTAGTTTATTAAAAAAAACATTGATCAATCCATATTTTTTCTTCTCTCACAGCGATTGTTAAGATTAAATTAGATTTATTTTTGGTCCCAAATCTTTTGAAAACTTCAAGAAACTGTCAGAAATAGTAAAATATATTTATAGGTGCTCGCTTCTCGTCTAACTTCAATTTTCTCTTAATTGAAGTTGGGATTTTTTTAATATAAGCGCTTTAAAAATTTAATCTCCTCAAAGAAAAGTTTTACGGGTGTAAGTGATCAAAATAAATTATATTTTATTAGATCTTTAAATAGATCTGATAAAATATATTTTCCACGTGTATTCATAGTGTAATTAAAAAATATTTTTAACGAAATTTTAAGTTGTTTTTGAACTTTTATCGTTGAATATAAACAGAAATCAAATGAAAGCGTTTCAACCAGGATAAGTTTTTTTCAGAGTGCAAAAACTTCAGAAATAGTTTTGAATTTTACTCTTAACTAAAAATAAAAAAGATTTCATATTCCTCACAGGAAAGCATTGTTCAAGATTTCATATTTTGTCAAAGTTTAAAACTTTTTGAAAGCATTTTACCAGGAATTTATTTCTATGCATTTTAATACTTGAAATACTCAATGCTCAAACGAGAATTTATTTTTCGAAATTAAATTTCATTTTCAAATGGATTTAAAACGACGTCTTTCTCGAATGTGGATTTTGAACAGTTTTTACTTTAAGTAATTCACCGAAAATTCAATAAATTGTGTAAACCTATTTTATTTTTAACTTATTCAATTCCATGAAATAAATAATAAAACAAACTTTCTTATAATTGCTCAAATTAAATCTAAATTAAAAACATTTCAAAACTGCTTATTTTGTAATTTTAATTATTTAAATGAATTTATTTTTAGAAGAAATGTGAGAAATAACATCAAATAATAAAAGATACATGCAAGTAGTAATGCAAATTAGTTCAAAAATAAAAGATAAAGTAATAATATATCACGTAATGAAAGACATTGTTTGCTTTGCTAAAATCATTGTTAAAATTCAGTCTAACAAATCTTTCATCCTAAAAAATTTTTTAAAAAAATTGAAAAACTTTTTTTTTCTATTTTTTAAATTGAAAAATTTTTGAAAACAAGTTATTGAAAGAAAATGGCACTTTATATTTCGAAGATTAACATTGTTTTAAATGTAAAAATAAGTTATGGTAATAAGTTATGGTCCTGAAATAAGGAGGGAAATAAGTTTTTAAATAGTTTACTGTTGCTTCTCTAATTTCTAAAGCTGGTGATCCTAAAATCATTGACCCGTCATAAAGCAGAATTTCTCAAGAAATGCTTTGAGGATTATTCTATAATTTTAGAGATATTTAGATCAATACTCATCAATAAAACTTAAAATGAAGACTCGTACTTATCAATAAATTTTAAAGCTTTTAGAGACCGACAATAAACGACGAACGAAAGCAAAGTGTTTTTGAACACCTTATGCCATAAAATATTGCAATACGCTTGCAACTTGCATTGACTAATTTGCTTGCTGTTTCCAATAATTACATAAAATTTTCTTAATAATTTATCTTAAATATTTAAGGAAATATGGACATTTTTAAGAAATAATATTTTTTGTCTTACGTTTTTTTTTTAAATTTAAAGTGTTTAATGAATATAAACAAAGTTTTTGGAGCAGTTTTTAATTAATAATAGATTTATTATTTTAAATTTAGAAAAAAAATCCATTCGAAAGGGCTAAATTTATGGGCAATTAAAGTACTTCAAATGCGCAGAAAAATTTTAAAAAATGCTTTTTTTTTATAATTTTGCAGTGAATTGTGTTTAGTAACTATTAAAAAAAAGTGCTATTTAAATAATTTGAAAATTTAAAAAGTTTGAGCAATTTTCTACCAATTTATGTACCTTTTTACATATATATATATATAGATCTTCTCTCACACTGTTGTATTGATATATTTTGTTTTGACTATATTGATACAATATTAGAAAACACTCCTTTTTGTGGATACAATCGTGTGAGCTGATGAGGAATTTATATCATTTCATTATTTTGTTTTTTGACTTTTTAATATTTTTTAAATGAATAAAAAAATTTTAATGTTTTTGGAAATATTTTATTTTAATTATCTTTATTCTTCTCTTTTCTTTATAATATATATATATATTATATAGGTAATACAATAATATTGGTAAATTGATCGACAGTGTATGATACAATTAAAAACACTTTACATATTACCCAGCCATTGTATACAATGCGAAATCACAAATAGTATAAAACATAATTATTTTATAATTGTTATTAATGTGATTAATGAAAATTTAGATACAACCTGCTTTCTGTACATTTAAGCGAATACATAACAAAACATATATGAATAAGAGCTTAAATGAAGTTTGATAGATAAGTTGTCTATAAAAAATATATTTTTTGTATAAAGGTACTTTAAGGAAAATCAAGTTCTGTAAATAGATTATCGCCTTACAACAGACTAATGCATTTACATTCAATTTGAGATTTGTTAAATTGTTTCTGCAATATTTTGACTTTAAAATAATCGTTATTAATTTCTCACAGCAAACTTATTGCAAATTTTATAATAAAAGAAAGGAGAATTATAACATTGGGAATAATTTATAGCTATTACTTGTAAAATCATGGTTCCCTTACTCTCATAATTCATGAATTATTTCCATCTACTATACTTAATGATTTGAATCCATGAGGACTTGCACTACAGAGAGTCCCTACCAGTTCAGTTGCACTTTACTTTTCTATTATTATAATTTCCTATTTCAAAGTTTTATTGGAATAAGATAATTCTTTAATTTGCGTATGGAGCTGTGAACTACAATCGTTACTTCGCTGGACTAAAACATTAAATAAGTTATTCATATTACTACTGTTTGTATTGTACACAATAACCACAGGAGGCATGATTGTGGAATTTTTATACCTTGGTTTTCATGTATCACGGGGTGATAATTAGCTTAATTACCCAAAGATTCCTTGGAAAATAGTGGCTACTTTGCCCACCTCTCACTAACAAAGTACCAAAATGACTAGCATACGGTATAGTCTCAATTAGTATCGATTCTAACATTTGTATTTATGATTTAGCCATTTCTGCTTTTAAAAAAAACTATGGAAATGGAACGAAGCATTAAAATTAATGAAAGATACTGGAACTTGCAAGTGACTTTCGTAAAAAAAAAGTTTTTAAAGCATTGCTTACCAAAATTTTTAATTATTTACGCTGTAAATTTTCTGATAGAGTGAGTAAAATTATGTACCACCGTATATGTTCTTTCTTTATTTTTGCTTCTGAATTTAATTATCTACTAAAATTTCATAATGAGAATCTGCTTAACGAATAATTAGTAGAAATATAATAGGGAGTCCGGAAAGTAATGTCATTTCGGCTCCATTAAATAATCATTAGGCTTAAAAACCAATTCGTTTTTTTTTATCCATTTTGATTCATTTTCGAACCAGTATTGAAAGGTTGTTTCTAATGAGGATAAAAATACATTATTGATTAAAAATAATAGCTTGATGACAAATATCTGAAGCACATAAACGACATTACTTTCCAGTCCCCTAATAATTAATGAAAATAATTAATAATAAAATAAGTTTTTTTAAACTGTTTTCAAGTATATTTTTACTCATTTTATCTACCCCTTCCTCGAAGAAAGCATATCCAGGAAATTTACTACAGAGGCAGTTTTCAAAAGAAAACATCTGATTGGCATAGTTACTCCGGTTGTTCACCTTGGCTTTAAATTTTTACTGAATGAGAAAGCTATGAGAGTTTAAAGATCGAACAACAATTCTTAAAGTCATGAATTATGTCCAGAAATTAGAAATTATTTCCCTTTTTCTAACTGATTAAGAGGTGCACGAAACTTTTACTATAAGCTAAACTGTTCGAAGTAACTGTTTAAAATAACCTCAGTTGATGCAAATGAAAAATTGTGGTTTTCTAAAGACTTTTTTTAAAGTGATTGAAGTTTAAATACTCATATGTTTTGCATGCGAAATAGTTTTGTATTGATTGCTGTAAATTGAAAAGTTCACATTTCGTCGTCATTTTGAATCATTATTTCAAAAATTGATATCATTATTTTGAATCATTATTAAAAAGTCGAAAATATTGGCTTTTTAAAAAAAACTCGAGTAAATCCTATTTTTAATTAATGGCCAATTCCTTCCAAATCTTTTTATTAATTAAATTCTGTAACGAAATATATTTATCTTGCAGGTAATGGCAACTGCAGTAAGCTATAACTGTTCTGAGTTGGAGCATCTGCAGATAGCTGTGACTGAATTCAATCAATTTTCTCCAAGATTTGATACTGAACAGTACGATCTAGAATTCCATCCAAAAACAGAAGTTGGAACGATCGTCTTAAGAGTAAAAGCTACTGATCCGGATCCAGTTCCACAAAATGCAGAAATATATTACTTACTGGATCAGAATTCTACAAGTCAATATTTTGATTTGGACCCTATAACGGGAGAACTTTCTTTAAATCAATACATAAATGACACAAAAGCTTTGAAACTCTTTGGTATATATGCAGAAGATGGCGGATCACCGAAGCGTTGGGCTTATGTTGCAGTTAGTACCATAATAAAACACTTATCAGGTAATATTTGAAAATTTAATTAAATACTCGTTCATTTGTGACAATATGATAAAATTAATTTTAAGATTTTGAGCATTTGCAAATTATCTGTGTGTTATTTATCAGCAAATTACAGAGACTGTTATAAGCAAATTACATAGCAATTACAGAGGACAACTGTTATAAGCATAGCAATTACAGAGAATTACTGTTAAAAGCAAATTACAGAGAACCAATGTTAAAAACAGGAGTGTGGTCATAGTCCGAAAAAGAACTAAGGTTAAAAGAGGGAAATTAGGATCATTGTCCAGAAAAGAACAATATTAGAAAGTGTGACCACATTCTGGAAAAGAACTAAAGTTGAAAGCGAGTCATAGTCCGGAAAAAAAAACTAAGATTAAAAGGTTATGATCATCGTTCCAAAAAGAACAAAAGTTGAATGTAAAGATAGTAATCAAATAGCAAAGAACAAACGTTGAAAGCGAAAAAATAAGAACTGAAATACGTGATCGACAGCAAGGTGCGCCAAAGGAGAGCAAGGCGCGCCAAAAACTACAAACAGTGGTAACTATTTAATTCGTGTAAACTAAAATTTTAAATAAACAGTTAAATTTTAAAAATTTAGACGTCACGATATAGAGCTAGAAATACAAACCGAACCATTATAAATGTGATTTGATAATTATGGATGTGTCATTTAACTCAATAAGAAACAAAATCGAGTAGTTTTATTACCACTCTCTACGTTTTTAGGCGCAGCTTGCACCACAGGAATAAAATTACACATTAAGGGAAATGCTCTAAGCGTTATCTTTCAACAATTGAATACTAATTTTGCTTGTAAAATGTTTTCTGAATAGTTCTCAGTTCCAAGTTTGTGAATACACTGGTGGACAAAATTAAGAGATGGAAAGCATTTTCGCACATTCTTTCGCACATGCAAGATACCCTCACACTGCTCCATGTGTTTGACAGTGGTTCCGTGAATGCCCAGAGGTACAGGCAGGAGGTCCTAGAGCCCTATGTGCGTCTTTTCAGGGGCGCTGTTGGCCCTGAGTTCATTTTTATAGACGATAATGTGCGACCACATAGGGCTCTCATGGTTGATGGTTGCATCTGGAAAGCGACGACATTCAATGAATGGATTGGTCAGCCAAATCCCCTGACCTGAATCCTATTGAACATGCTTAGGATGCTCTTGGGAGAGCCATTGCAATGCGCCAGCCTCCCCCCAGAACCATTCTGGAGTTAAAATTTGCTCTGGTGGAAGAATGGGAGGGTCTTCCACAAGTCCTCCGTAACTCCCTTATTAACAGCATGCATACTCGTTGTGCATGCTGTCTGGGTGACCATACACCATACTAGAGGCAACACACACTGTACATGCCTCACTTTTATTGTCATCTTTTATCCTTAAGTTCAGACTACATTGAATTTATTGGAAATAGGCGTTGCCAGTGAATGGTACTTCCATTTTTGTTTCGCATACTTTATTATCATGGAATAAGCTATATCCATACCAAATTTCATTTATTTATATTCAGTAATTTTTGAGATATTTGGGAAAATGTATTCCATCTCTTAATTTTGTCCACCAGTGTACTTGGCTAAATCTGAAAACTCTCTTAATTTTGAATGCAGTGTATTTTTAAAATTTAAATGTTTGTTTTTTTTTCTTCTTCTTTTTCATATTCGCACAATTCGTTTTCGTATTTTTATGGTATTCGCACATAAAGGAAACGCTCTGAGCGTTACCTTTCAACAATTGAATACTAATTATTTGTAAAATGCTTTTTCAATAGCATTTTATTTAAGTTTGGAAGTAATTGGCTAAATCTGAAAATTCTCTAAATTTTGAATGCCAATACATTTTTAGGATTTAAATTTTTTTTCGTATTCGTACATATTCGCATACTTCGCATTTGTATTTTTATGCTATTTGCACGTTTCGTATTCATATTTTTACGATACTCACATATAAAGGGAAATGCTTTAAGCGTTATCTTTCAGCAATTGAATACTAATTATTTGTAAAATGGTTTTTTTTAATAGTCTTTTTTTTAAATTTTGAAAATAATAGGCTGAAACTGAAAATTTTCTTAATTTTGAATGTTAGTGTATTTTACGATATTCACGTATAAAGGGAAATGCTTCAAGCGCTATCTTTCAGCAATTGAATACTAATTATTTGTAAAATGGTTTTTTTTTAATAGTTTTTTTTTAAATTTTGAAAATAATAAGCTGAAACTGAAAATTTTCTTAATTTTGAATGTTAGTGTATTTTTAAGAATCAAATAGTACTTTTTTTAAGTTAAAAATGTATTTTTAGACGTGTTTCAATTAAAGTTAATGCAAAGTTAAAGTTTAAATGATTCGCTGAATTTTAATAAAAAATTATATTACGAAATACCTAATGAATTAAAAATAAATAACTGTTATTGTAGTTTTAAGCTATTTATTTACTAAGAACTTATTTCTCAAAGTTTTCTGGATTTAAATTACCATTTTAGTTGCCCCAGGTAATATTTTTTCTAAAGGAAAACTGCTCGAAAATAGACCAGCAAGAAAATTTCTTTGAAGTGATACTAGCTTGAGGGAAATAGGTAAAAATATAGGCGAGTAGAGCAATGAGATTGATTTACACAACAAAAGGATGCTTTTCTTAAGAATTTAGAATTCAATTTTTTTTTTCTCCATATGATGCATGAAAGGTTCAACTTCCAATATATCCTTTGTCAAGTACTATTTTATTCTTGAAATTAAAATTACAAAATACTCCTTTTATAGAGCAAGACACAAAAGATTTCAACAACACATGTTTTGAGTTATTTAGAGTTACAAATGCGAATGGGAAATTCTGTTACTTGTTAAACGGAAGTTTTGTAACCCTAATCTACAAATTGAAACAAGTTAAAACAGGAAAATAAAAACTTCTTTCTATTGAATACATTATTTTAGTTCTAATTCTAAAAATACAGTAGGTTCTCTTTTATGTGAACTAAGTGAACCGCATAGTAAGTGAGTGACATTAATGTCTAAAATATTTAGCGACAGAAAAACAAGCATATTTTTTTAACCATTTTTTTCGAGGGACACAATTAAATGAATTAAAACTTTAAAAAATGTTTTTTATTATTCAAACTGTAAAGAGAGCTCCAATAGCTCAGGGGATAGAGCGCTCGCCTTTCAATGAGGTCACCCGGGTTCGAATCCCAGCGATAGCTGATCGATACGAATCCGAATCCGGCTTGCACCGACCACAGTGCTGGCGTGAAATATCCTCAGTGGTAGACGGATCATGGTTTAGCGACCCTTACCGTTAGGCTAACCGTGGGAGATTCTCGTGGTCTTCCTCTCCATGTGACGCAAATGTGGGTTAGTTCCATCAAAAAGTCCTCCCTCAAAAGTTTCATCAAATTTCTCCCAATACTTGATCCGGGAGTTTCGTTGTTTTCTGGATTGGATTCAAAATTACAAGGCTACGAAGTAGAACATTAGTAGCCGTAAACCCTAAAATTGTGTCTAAAGAACGAATTTTTACAAACTAAGTGCAAAAGGTTCAAAGGGGTAACCTCAAATATGGTAATTAATTAGTGAAGACCATATTTTAAGCTATATAATCAGGCCCAACAACGTATGTTCTCAAAATAAGCTTATCTTCTTAGACAGATTTAAATTTTTGACAGGTAAGATTCAAGAAGAGTTGAAGGGTAGCTGAACTAATGAAACTTAAAAATCGTACAATACTCGATTCATGCCACTTCTAGTATTTTCTTGACCAATTCCTTATGAATTCCGAGAAAAAAATTAGATTTAGCTATTTATGAGTAAACAAGTCAACCTTAAATTCTTTTTCCTCAAATTTCGAAGTACACAATGAGCAGATAATCCAAACGCTCAGAAATTACATTACCTTCCGACCCCTATAATATTACAAAAGAAAAGAAGGTTCTTAAAAGAAGTTTTAGTAGCGGAACATTGAGTGTTTGTTCACTTTCTACAAAAATAACTTTTCAATTTTTATAACATAGTAACATTTCTAAGTTGGGATTATTTCATAGCTTATAATAATTGTCATCTGTTTACTATATTAAATTTTACTTAAATTATAAACAGTCTTTTTTATTAATTGTTTCTCAAGAGTCTACAAGCTGGGTCAAGCCTTTTTTGAGGTTGATTTGACCCACAAGAATTAAGAGTTATTAAAACCTACAGCAATAAATAATTGTTAAAAAGATCATATAGGTAATATTTATAGGTAAGAAATAAATATTTATTTACCTATAAAAAACTGACTTAACTGGTTAAAGAATTTAGCTTATAATTAGCTAACAGAACTCTCTAAAAACAACTCTATTATTTACGTTTTTATTGGTTTTTTGCACTTTTTACTATTTTTATGGAATTTTCTTTCTTTTTTCCCATATTTCGTCTTTTCTGGATTTCTTCTTTGACAAGGGTGTTTGGCAAAATCCTCGATTTAGAATGTTGGGTCAAATTTCCCTTAACAAACATTTTATAAAAAAGTAGCTAAAAGCGCATTAAAATAGAAAGTAAATCATAAGCATACTGGCTTTTAGTATATTAATCAAAGAGCACAACAAATCCTACTTTTTTTAATACATGTTAATATCAAGTGGTACAGGAGAGAAAAGCTTGCAAACTGAAAAATAACAAAATTCCAGGATGAAAAATTATGCGTGTTTTTACTCCTTGATTTAAATTGCAGATGGTTGATAGAAAAATAGAGGTCTACTTGATACACTGTTAGAATTTTCATTCTAAAATTACGGTAAAATAAGCCTTAGTAGTCTGTCCATCCAATTGACCGTGAAGTTTACGACGATGAAAATTTTTCACCTTTACGGGTTTGAAACTATTTACAACTAGTATATAAAACCCTGAATACAAATCCAAACGGTTTTTTAACCATTTACAACTAGTATAATTTCAAAACCGTAAAAAAATTAACTGGTTTGATAGTGCGCATTAGGAAGTGCAGGACACAAATTGGGGAGTGCTGTGCAGTATACTGGAAACTCTTCATGTGTTGGAAGGGAATGGAGAAAACACTGTGGTGTGAATGTTTGAATTTGAACCTCTCGTCTGTCGGCTATGAGACTGACAGATGAGCCTTCTCGGTTCTACTATTTACGCAATTGCAAGGAGCAAGGGGCGATAAAATTCTGGTGGTTTAACCGTATTAGGTGAAAGTAGTTAATAAACTGTTTTTCTAGCAGTTAACAGTTTGAATACCATCTTATTTATGGCAATTTAACTGTTTTGTATGAATGTGGTAAAATAATAATTAAAAAAAATTTATATAATTACTCTTTCCGAGAAATTTGTCCCGCAGTGGACTGATCGTTAAGACACGGTTCCCAGCAGATCACCGAAATCAAGCATCACTGGCTGCGGTCAGTGTGCGGGTGGGTGACCACTTGGATCAGACTGCGTAAGGACCGAGGGTGTGCGGCATTGGTCCTCGTAAAACTGTTCTACCGTTAAGTGCTCGACTTCGCGTGCAGGTCATCGGGCTACCGAAGCGGGGGTGCCATTCCCTCAGCAGAGGATCAAAATTGTGATGGCATGTCTTCGGATCATCCTCAGGAATGTTTCCCAGACCGTCGCCAATAGCCCATTGTGCAGCTCTAGTGCGACCGAACAGTGAGTAAATGAACAACAACAACAACTTTCCGAGAAATTTCTAATAGCAATCTGATCTGCATCATCTAAATCAGGGGTTTCCAACTTACATGAGGACAGGGGCCACAATTAAAAACACAAATCAAATGCCAGGCCGCAACTTTATCAAAATTTTATTTACGACTCTTTTATGTTTGAAGCAACATTAAATATTACTGTCAGATTTTTTCCAAGTTGTACAAAACGAAAGTATTGAATTACAAATTAAAATAGGAAGTAGATTTTTAAAAATATTTAATTGCATATTAAAAAATTCGAGCTACAATGACTTGTGCACCTAAGTATTAAACAATTAATGTGCAACAGATATCTAATTGTTAAGATATAAAACTTTAAAAAGGTTGGTATTAAAACTTACAGAGTAGCACACAAAATGTTCAATGAGAAAATTGAGGTTTGTCTGCTGTAACTACCAGAGAATAGTTATTTACATTTTAAATTTAAAATTTACTAATGTGTGTGTAAATATTTTCGTCCAAAATGAGTGGTTTCAAAAAGTTAAATCGGATAATTTCTTCGAGAAAATTTCTGATACACACATGCAAAATTATATTCTCAAAAAATACAAAAAAAATGAAATAAAAAAGAGCAACATACACAATTATTTTTGTATTTGAATAAATATTTTCTTGGATGCAAAACCTGAGAAATAAATTTCTTTGCNGCACCGTTGGTATGTTAAATTTCACAGAAACGAAGAAATTAAGTTTTTATTAACGAGAAAAGTATTTTAAACCCATACAGATTTTTTACGAAAATTGTCCTAAAAAAAATGACAATATATTTTAGTTCGCAGGCCGCAAAAAAAAAAGCTCCGAATGCGGCCCCCGGGCCACCAGTTGGAAACCACTGATCTAAATGAATGTTTTAAGTAAAAAAGGAAATCGGATTGGCCAAACCTCCCTTATGTTTAAGTCCGTCATATTTCCTTTGAATGTAATTCCTTTGAATATTTTTAAACTGTGCTTGAAAATTTACAAGATTGTATTTTATAAATTTAGTTTCACTTGTTTTTGTGTATTACAGCTCCCCAAAATGTTACCATCAGTAACATAACTTCTGAATTTGCCACTGTTTGCTGGAATCCACCGATGTATGGAAATGTACTGGGATATGTTGTGAAATATTATCCATTTGACAGCGAAGCAAAATTTTTTTTTAACATGACAGTTGTTGGTTCTTCGGGAGATTGTAAAGTACTTACTGAACTGATAGGCAACACTGATTATAAAATGCAACTGTATGCATGGAATGAACAAGAAGACGGGCAAAAGTCGGAGATCTTTCATTTTCATTCAGCAGTAAATTGTAAGTTGAAATACAACCCAAGAATTTATAAGTTTTAATAAATTTAAAAAACGAAATGATTATCCGATGTATAAATTTGTGTCAAAGAGAATTTTTTTTAGATAGAAGAATTTCTGATGTTAAAAAATTTTTTATCCTTTAATTTTCATTTTCTTTTATAATTTGCTTAATGTAAATATCGATTCATACAGAAGAATGAAACTATATATACGCCATGAAACTATTTGCATTTCAATTCATAAAAATTCCTTAAATCTCAGAAAATGATATCGATATGAAAATTTCCTTCGAAAAATTTTTAATATCCAAAAAATTAGTTTTTTTTTATTTTAGAGATGCCTACAAATAATTAATTAAAAATTTTTTATTAAATTAGGAATAAATCCTTTATTTGTCATCGAAGAAATCGGCAGTTTCATTTTTCATTTTTAAACGTTTTTAGTTAAATCAAATCTTCAAGCTCATTATTATTTTTTTAATAAAATTCGTTGCTATTGTTTTTATTGTTAAGCTAATTATTTAAAAAAAATATTATGCTCGAATATTGTTTATTTAACTGTTAATAAGACACTCCGTAATTCAGATAATATTTTTAATATTATCTGAATTACAGAGTGCCTCAAGAATGTCATTACGAACTTTTAAGTGATGTAGCATTACATTATAAAAATTGAGAATCGCATAGCCGTAGAATTGAGAATTGAAATATTAAAAGATTTCTGTCCTTTATTTTCATCATCATCTATAATTTTTTCTATGCAAGTATCGATCTATACAGAAGAAATCTGCACGGCATGAAACTATAGGCATTTCATTTCATAAAAATCCACTAATACTCAAAAACTGATGCTGACATTCAAAAAATTAATTTTGTTTCTAATTTTATGGATTCCTACAAATAATTCATTTTGAAATATTCATAAAAAAATAAATTTCTAAGCATTAGAAGTGAAATTTGAATTTTATTGAATAAAATTAATTTTTACTTTTTACAAATACGATTGCGAAAATATTTAAATATTAAATAGCAAAAAATTATTTTTTCATATGGTAAAAAAAAAATTTGTTTTTAAGGATACCTTACTTCTTTGAAAAAATAGAATTTAATATTATATGAAGAATAAAAAATCTCTCTAGTTATTTCAAGCAAAACATTGCTATTGAAGATGTATTGCATCCTTCAAATTCAAAAAGACTCAAAAATTCATAAAGTAATTCTAAAATAGCATTTCACAACAATTATTTATTACTAGCGTATTGATAATCATATTGAATCTGTAATGATAATTTAATGTTCATATAGAATATCTAAGTCATTAAAGTATTTAAAATCCCTTGTTTAATGTTTATTATTATACTATTCAATTATATTTATTACAACTCTTCCAAAGAAACTTATAAATGTGCCTATTAATTACATAAATTTGAAAAACGATCTTTAGTAAATAAAAAAGTATAAAGAACAATGCAAAAAATCTCTCTAAATGTAATACGCTTTTAGTATAAAAGGTAGGTAATTGCCTATTTAAGGTTAGTGCATTTTTTCGAGTTATTAAAAGGCTAACGTTACAACGCAAACAACAAATGTGTTTCTTTTTCTGCGTGATCATTCACCGTTATTATAGAGTTATTTAAGGTACTGCAGTTTAACAATACGTTTTTTTTAAGCAAATTACTCCTACGACTGACGTTTTTTTTTTAATTAAATTAATGACAAAGCTTTTATTTGTCATCGGACAAATTAATTGACAGTTTTTTTTTCATTTTGACACCTTTTTGGTAAGATCAATTTACTTCAAGAAGCTTAATAATATTATTTATTTACAAAGTTCATTGCTATTGTTTTGATTGTTAAACAAATTTTTCGAAAAAATATGTACGATTTGTTTTTATTTAACTGTTAAGAAGGCACTCTGTAATTCAGATAGTATTTTTAATATTATATGATTTACAGAGTGTCTCAAAAATGTTACGACGAACTTTGAAGTGATGTAGCGCATAAGAAATGAGAATTGCATAGACTTTTGAACTGAGATTTGAAATGATCGAAAATGTCAGGAGAAAATTGTAGCAGATGTATAAAATCTCAAAGGTCACGGGAGAGTGATTAATTGAAAATATTTATTGGACATCACGATTACAAATAGTGTAATAGATTAATACAGTGTATTACGTTGTAATAGATACTCTAAATCGGAAGATATGCATGCCGGACGCAGTCGAACATTATGATTTCTTTTATTGTTTCTTTGCCTAGTAGTCTCAACAGGTTTGTGATACATAGCTTATGATGATAGCTTTTAGAACCTCCAACAACAACAACAAAATCAAGGCTTGATTTAGGCACCTAGCAGCACCCACATAGAGCTGCTAAGTGCTCAGTGCTGTCCAGCTATCACAAGAGCCTTGATGGTGGTTACTGTGGTTACGAAGCTCATCTATTCAAATAGGGATGTGAAGTTAACAGTTTCGCATTGATTTAGGTTGATAAGAGTCATATAATTTCTACGATACCATAAGAAATGACTTTACCCTTGCTTAATAATAGCAAATAACTTCTAACTTTTGGTCGAGAGGAGTTCTCATGATAGTTGAATAGTATCATTCAAGTAGTGAGATGATTTCTCAGTTCTTATGATGCTTTATGATAAAAATTTCTAATTCTCAATTCTTATGATATCACAATGCTATTGAAATAACCTATAAGAAAATCAAAGTTTTTTTTTCTTTTAAAAAATTTACTTGATTGACTAGTTTGTTACCAATTGCAAGTTTGACTGATAACAACAGATTTGAAATTAGCTTTTTTAGTTATATTAAGTTTTTCTCCCTCAAGGGGAATTCATTCAGAAAAGCAAAAGAACCATTGAGCGAGATTTCTTTTAAATTTTATTTAGTTACATTTTAAAAAGGTGTGAAATGTATGCATATGGTAAAAATGATCCATATGTATACAAAATAAGAAGGATGATAGTTCAAGCAATATTTACCATTGCACATAGAGTCAAATTCTACTCTGAGAGGCAGAAAAAAGTAGTGACCTATTACTTGGCTTTCTCACACCTACCTAATCTCAACCCAACAGATTATTTTCTTTTTCGGAAGCATGAAATCTATAGTGAACGAAACGTCTATAGACTTAGCAGTAAATCTCATTGCGAGAAAATTGTTGCCACAGATAAAATTAAAGCAACGCCAGAAATCTTCGAGAGTGTGCGCCAGTCGTTCCTTCAATGTTATGAACGACGCGTGTGCTCACCATTTTGAGCACTTTCTGTGAGTTTTCTTTTGATGAGTCAATCAGATTGTGTAACATTTGGTATAGTCCATTTACTTTCCCAATATTTTTATTCTGATAAAAATTTTAATTTTACTCTTTTTTTTGCCAATCAGATTGACATTTGATACTTTCATACAATGTTCCATTGAAATTATTGTATAGATGGGTATTATTACCACTGCTTTTTTGTAAAAACATTTTAGACTCATTTCGCAATGTTATTAAACTTACCTCATTTTCAATTTGGTTTTCAGGGTGTAAAAAAGTAACTTGTGAAACTGGTTACTGTACCCCATTGAATGAAGAACCTTTCTACCACTGCGCTTGCTTTTCTGGTTATTATGGAAATTCTTGCGAGTTCTTTGATCCATGCTCACAAAACCCATGTGAAAACAACGGAAAATGCCTCAATACAACTCATAATGAATATGTTTGCATTTGTGCTGAAGACTACAGTGGGCCGAATTGCCAATCTTATAATCCATGCTTACGTCGCCAGAATCCTTGTGAAAATGGAGCGACATGTGAAATGACAACGACCAGAAATACATATGTTTGTGTTTGCCCAGAAGGATTCTATGGGAGGAAATGCAAATTCAGAGACCTTTGTGCATCCAATCCATGCAAGAATGGAGCTACTTGCAATAAAACAGAAAACGAATTTTCATGCTTGTGTTCACCAGGATTCATGGGTGAGTGAAATATTAAGAAATGATTAATTGATTTTTAAGAATAAAATTTTTATACTCTCGAAAATAAATATCCTTAAGCATTCAAACACTTCAGTAGCATATTTATCTGGGAGCCGACCTGGTAACCGAGTGGTTAGCGTGTCTGACTGTGGAGACGCTGGTCGAGGGTTCAAATCCTGCTCAAAGCATGGATGTTTCTTTCTCTCTGTGTTCTATGTCCTTTCTCCTTTGTGTGTGATTGTGTGAATGTAACCGCCCTATAAACGGGTTTGTGGTTGTGTGACGTGGGTGACGCTGCTCCACCGCCGTGGCTTCGACACAGGTGCCCACTGGGTAACGAGAAGAGAGTAGCAGTTCTGGCATTTCTGTGGCCAATGGTACAACCCCCAAGTGCCCGCCATTAAAAAAAATTATTTATCTGGAATTGCTTTTTTTTTTAGGAAAGGGCAAACCGATATTTTCAAGGCAAACCAATTTTTATAAGAATTTTAAGCGTAAAAAAAATAATAAAAAAAATTATAACTTATTCTCACGCATTTGTATTAGGACAATAGTATATTTTAGCTTATTGTTGTAGTAGAATACTCGAAGAATGGACAATAATATGATAGTTTAATAGTCTCATAATGATGAGTTTAATAGCCTCGTAGATTAATAGGCATGTCACTGCCAATAGCATTAAAGTTGGGACAATTTTCTTGTCGTAGCTCAGAACTTCAAGAAATAAAGAATTGGGTCAAATTTATATCAACCAAAATGAGTGGGAGAATTGCTGAGTTTTAGAACATTGAAACAAAATATAAACATAAATTCAAATTAAAATGAATTCGTTTTTATTTTACCCCTCCCTCTTATCGATAGAACACTACGGTTTCAGTTTCTTATGGCCAATATATTCAAACGACTATAATAAGAAGAACAAACTGAAGATTAGTGATATTTATTTTTGAACCGTCCTTTTTGAAAGGCGCAAAGAAGCTATAATATATTAACAAAAAATGAAACCTGTTTTCAAAAATTTTTTTTACCACCTTACAGCATTACTCTCGAACAATAAGAAGCTATTATTATACAATATATTTAAAATGATCATTTAAAGGATTATTTGACTGAATATCGTTTTATTCTTTAAACTTAAATATGAAACGGAAATCAACATTTTTATGAAAGAAACGTAAATAGTATTTTAACATATGTTAACAGGGTGAAGAGAGTAGCAGTAAATTTCTCACGAAAAGAGTTTTCTAAACAACACTTTGAAAACAATTTCCTCACAGTAACAGTTTCATGGAACAATTGGTTTTGTGTAATTTATTTAGATCAATCCTATTTTTTTCACGCTTTGTTACCGAATTAAAATTACAAATTGATGCTTCTAATGACATTTGAACAAGTCAAGCTCGCCAGCCATTGGCTTTTTGCGAAGTCAGGATGGTGCGCCTTCATTTTGACTAGAGAGTACCGTAAGGGTGAAAGTGTATCTTATCTCAGAATCCCACAGATAGTTGACAGCGCCACTCATTCGTGAGGCCATTTCCTATATTTAGACATAGACCTGAAGGTAAGATAGGTAGAGCCCCAACCCACCACAGGGGGGGTATACGGAGATTGAAAGTTAAAATATTACATTAAATATTTTCACTAAAAACTAAAATTACAGTAAAATTTTACCAAATGACAGTGGTGGTGATCAGTTAAAAGTGAATTAGCTAAAAATTAGGGAGATGAAAAACATGATTTAAAATCAAAGGGAAACTAAAAGCACCGGCGTAAATGTCAAGAATTAAAATGATGATAATACTGAGGAAATTAAAGATGAAAATAAAATCACTAAACTAAAAGTCAATAAGAGCTAAAAGCTTGTTTTCTACGAACTTATTGTCTGAGCTTGTAAGAGAAGGCAAAGGAAATTTTCTCTAGATCCCTGTATCCAATGTAATGCTGAGCGACCGACCACAGAACTCTCGATTCCGTAGATTTCACGAGCACGTACATCGCATGTACTTGGTGGATCTTAGCAGAGTCGAGGTTCGAACCCCGGTCCCTCCTCACCAAAGTCTGATTCTCTAACCACTGGGCTATCAAGGCCCCATACCAAATTGAAGTTGAATTCTATCGCTGTCATAGAGTTTTAAAATTTCAGTTTTCTTTTTCATGCATTTCTTAGTGTTTGCATATTGTTATAACATATAATGCCTGGAAATTATTTTTTGCTAATTTATCAAGATAATATAATTATGTTTGTTAGTTGGCATAATGAACTTTTTTTAAGTTGGTTGTAAGCCCTAAAATCCAACTTAACCTCTCGACTGCGACTCTCTACATTATTTCTAATCTTAACCCTCAAGGAGTTACAATACGGTGATTGTCTTGAAATCTGCTTGTTTTTTGAGCTTTGTTATTATCCATCACCTAAAAAGAAAAAACATATATACTTATTATTTAATTATTCAACTTGTTTTAAATTACTCTATATCAGAGTTGCTTTGACCCCATAGTAAAGAAAGAAAAGTAGCCTTTTGTGGTTTTCAATGAAAGTACAAAGGGATTTTTGATGTTGGAGAAGAAGTAACTTTAAATAAAAGAGATTTTATGCTTTTGAGAATTTATGTATATGCTCTTGTAATGGCTGTATAAGACATATTGTAAATATTACAAGGTTACGTGATAAAATAATGTTAAAATTAGTTAATGTATTCTTGATTGAAAAAACGAAGACTAAATACTCACTATCTTTCTCCTTGACATATAAATGAGCTATAATATTAAGAATAACTTTATTTTTGTTTCTAAGGTAAGTTTTGTGTTTGTGCAACAGTATTATGATATTTAATATAAATTATAAATTATTTATTGAGTAAAATCCTTTCATAAAATTAAATTTTTCGAAGCACGCTGATTTATCGAGAAATTACAATCAGTTTTTCAATCGCTATAGTTTTTATTTCAATTATTTTGTAAAATTAACCCATATGATAGGATGCATCGGCCTAATGTAAAAAACACAGTGATAACAGTTGAAATGATATAAATTAGCCTGGCCAAAGAAGCCTTTAGGCCCAACATTTTAAAAAAAATTCCTTTTCTTAACTCAAACAAAAACTTTAATGTATTATCATTCGCTAAAAATACCCATTTGTTACAAATAATAATCTGAAAAGTCTGCAAATAATTATACCTCCTTTCTTATTGGCTCAAATTTCATAAAGAACAAAAAAATCAGCGAAAGTTCTCCGTTTAAAAAAAAACTCTCATGGTTAATTTTTACTTCTTCTGTGCGATTGCAGTTTGAAGTCTTGTACATAAAAGCATATTAACTTTTAAAAAATTTATTTCTCCTTTTGTAATTAACTTTGTAGCAAACTTTGCTAGTAAACTTTTATCACCAGCTGCTTGCAAATTTTGTATTTTGTAAATTAAATTTTCATAATTGGAAATAATATAATATATCGACTATTCAAACTTTACCTAATTTTTTGTGACCATTATTAAATTAAATAGTTAAGTATTTTTTCAAATTTTAAATACACGGATTTAGATTCGGAGAAACAAGCTTAATAATTGTATGCAACAAGTGTTGATTCGCGTAAATGGTTATGTAGACATTAAGAAATACGCAGAAAGGGAAATTAACATTAAGGAGTACAAACGTTTGACCACCTTTTTTTACCTAACTTGCGAGTTCATATTTTAGGCTACTCCTCTTTCTATTTTGAAGGTCAGAAATCCAAATTTGGTTAGAAAATATTTATATTTGTTCAGAGAAAACACATTTTTGTATCTAATTTCAAAAGTTAAAAGTATCATTTGCCTAATTTCATTAGCATATTTAAGGTTAGATACTCGAATTATGAAGAGAGCATGATAGTACGTAAACTATACTGTTTTTTATTTTGTGCACTGCTCTTTACATAAATTGCAAAAAAAAAAAAACGTTTATTTTGAATTTTTCTACTTTTTAGGTGAATTATGTGAAATTGATATTGATGAATGTGCGTCAGACCCTTGTTTCTATGGATCAACATGTTTAAATTTAGTGGGGAATTTCACTTGTGTCTGTTCATCTGGTTTTTCTGGTCAGAAATGTGATACATCGGGTAAGAACCAGTTCCAAATTGACTATACTAAAAAAACCTAAACCATCAAACAGAATTAGCTAAAACTTCTTCCAGTAGTAAGGGAAAAAAACAAAATAGGCCCAGTGCGTAGAAAATTGCCGACAATTTCTTTTTTTTTTTAATCGCTTAGGTACAATCTCAATATGAATTAGCAAAGTTTTCCTCCTCCTGGGAGGTGAGCAACGGCACCTAGGTCGAAGAACATTACTTGAAATAGGGTGATTTGTGGTTTTTTCGAAATATCTTTCACAAACAACGCTCTGCATGGAAAAATAAATACAAAAGCTGTTATTCAAAACACTAAAATGAAATGACTGATTACGAATTAACTTAAACTTTATAGTAAAAAACAATGGTAAGAATAATAACTGCATCAGCTTTTAACAGTTTTACCTGGTATAGGTTCTGCATATGGAATCCTCACTAATTTAAAAGATGTTGCACTATTGTGGGAAAAAAACATTTCAATGATTCTGTTACTAGATTACGAAAGTAGACGGTTGGATATATATGTATATATATAGACTCACAGGGGTTGGTCAAAATAATGGAAACACTACTATACTAATACATTTTTTCATATTTTTCAAGAAATGTTTGAAGAATCATTTTAGAAATTCAGAAGTGTTTACATCAAGTGATTTCTCATACATATCAATGAAAATTAAAGCTTTTAGAGGTTACACTGACGGACAATAAATTACAAACGGAAAATAGTATTTTCAAACACCCTATGGCAAACAATGTAGCAATAAATTTGTAACTTGTAACAAATAATTTGGTTATTATATGTAATAATTTCACAAGATTTCGTAAGTCCTGCTTAATTATTTATGGAGTATGGACATTTTTTACATAAAAAACAAGTTTTTCTGTTTTACGTTTTTTTCTTTTCTTTTTGCTATAACTTTCAACATATTCAATAAAATTAAACAAAATTTTTAGAGCAATATTAAATTACTTAAAAAAAAATTTCGCTAAAATTTGAGAAATATTCGTTGAAAACTGTGCAATTTATCAGTAATTAAAGCAGTTATTTTATACTGTATTATATCATTATTATTATACTGCTTATTATATAATGGGCGGAAAACTTTTTTTTCTCATAATTTTTTAAGGAATCGCATTTGGCATATAATGAAAAATGTAAAAAGTTTCAAGCAATTTTCTAAGTAGTTTTTGTACTTTTGAAAAGATACTCAAAATGAGAGAGGTTTTCTTCAAACATTATTTTACATAATGAGACAAAATTGTATAATAGATAAAACCTTACAATAAACGTTCATCCATCAAAATATAACTGTATAAGGAAAGAAAACATGCGAAAGAAAAGTTACTTTTATGGGGGATTATTCCCATCAATTGTTGTGTCATTTTTAATAAATCTTGTTTTAAAGAGCAAAATGAAATTTGTGGTAAACCACTTATCATTTTGAGCTTTCTTTTAAAGAGTACGAAAACTACTCAGAAAGTTACTTTTTAAATTTTTGAGATATTCAAATAGGACTTTTTTTATTGGTTGCTAAATACGAGGGTTGTAAATTAACTAGTGGCAACTTAACCATGAAACTCACAGAAGGGTGGGCATGCGCAAATAAGATATGGGAGCGGTGAGGTGGCACTGTTGTCGATGTGTAGAGTGCAAAAAACAGTCCATCTGCTTTGAAGGGTAGTTGTTGTGTGGCGTTAAATTGAGGAGTTTCGTTTCCATCGCTCTAAAGCATGCTTTCAAATGGTGATCAGCGGTCGTGGCTTAAAATCGAGGTTGCCCGTGGCAAAAATGCAACAGAATGCTATCGAGGATTAGTGGAAGTCTGTGGCGCGAATACTTTACCGTATAGGACAGTAGCGAGATGTGTTCAAACATCTCGTCTTTTTTCGTTATTAAGCCTTTTGAAAGCATGGTTTAGAGCGATGGAAACGAAACTCCTCACTTTAACGCCACACAACAACCACCCTTTCAAGCAGATCGAATGTTTTTTGCACTCTACACATCGACAACAGCACCACCTCACCGCTCCCATATCCTATTTGCGCAGCCCCGCCCTTCTTTGAGTTTTAAGGTTAAGTTGCCACTATTTAATTTACAACCCTCGTACAATTCACTACAAAAGTAAAAAACAATTTAAATTTTTTCTGTGTATGCGCAGTATAGAAAAACTACTTAAATTACTTATATCTTTCGCAGTTTTAAACAAATTTTTTTTTAAATTTTGAAACAATAATTTTGTATTAATTTCAAATTGCTCCAAAAATTTTTTTCATTTCATTGAATATTTTAAAATTTATAGCAAAAAGACGTAAACCAAACAAGTTTGTTCAAAAATTTCCATATCTCCATAAATATTTAAGCTAGATTCATGAAATTTCGGACAATTACTGCATATAATAATCAAAATGATTGTTACAAGTTACAAATTTACTGTTACTATTTTTGGCATGGGGTTTAAAAAACACTATTTTCCCTTTGTAATTTATTGTCAGTCCCTCAAGCCTCTAAAAACTTTAAACTTCATTGATAAGTATGAGAAGTCGCATAACCTAAACACTTCAAAATTTATAAAATGATTATCTAAATATTTTTTGGAGAAACATCAAAAAATGTGTAAGTATAGAAATGCTTGAATTATTTTGTCCAATCCCTGTAAGTCCAATACATCAAAATTATCAAATTAAAGAATAACTATCTAACCAGTTTTCTATCTACAAATTTCCTAAAATTATGGGCATATCTTACATTTAAGGATATAAATAATTAAAGAAAATATTGGCGCATTTATTTATAGGTTAACTTGTAATAATATTAAATATTGCGATTGTACTTTCGCTTTTCAAAAGTCTAACTATTCTTTGAGAATTTTCGACAAATAATTTGTGTGTTTTTCATTCACTATGAACGTGAGGCTGCAATTTCGAACTTTTATAATAATATTTTACATTCTGCATCGAATAATACTTTGATATGGTAAAATATCTAAAGTATCGTACCTTTTTCTAATTTTCATGTAACAATGAGTATTGTTTATCATTGCATCATTGTCTACATTATTAGAAAAGCTTTTGTTCGTCTGAAAAAAAGTTTTTTTTTCTTAGTATATTTTAAAGAAATAATTCCTAAGTTTTCAACGTAAAAACCTTCAGCCCACATTTTTATGTTCAATGGAAGTTAGATATCACTGCATTTCGCTGAGAACGTCATGATCAAAAGTATTGATCGGCAAAATGCCCATATTGCATATAAATTCGTATTGAAAGTGATAATTTAATATATCTAAACAATTTTACGTCTGGACATCTCTCACTTATTCCCATTGCACTTAACTTTAAGATGTTGCAATAAAAACCAATTTTTCTGTAAAATATGTGCTGAAGAAATGGCATTTTAACTTTAGCTATCCATAACTTAAAATTCTTATTACAAACATGGGGTACAATTTATCTTTAACAGCTTAAATTTTTGATTCAACTTAACATTTAAAAAAAATAAGCGCGTCTCATTTCCCAAGAGATAAGGTATTTTAAATTTCTCTGCCTTCTTTTTCCTAATAAGCTTCTCATTTCTAACAGCTTATAAATGTCTGAATTTATTTTTAATCAAATTGTAACTTTAAAAAAAATTGCAATTAACACAACTATATTAATCATTTTTCACCGACCCATATGAACTAGGGAGTTCTATTTTCAAATTAATAACATTTCATTATTTAATTTAAAGAGCTTATTTTGTATTTTTGTATTATTTATTTTCTCCACAAGTATACATATTTTTGAAAATATTTGTAACAACTAAATGATTTAAAAAATACAAGATAGGCTAAGCCAAGTTTGTAAAAAATCACCATAATAGTGTAAAAACTCTCAATGTCCTAGTCTCTTAGTTTAATATTTTTCACTAACTTTTTAGAAATATTTTTTAAAAATATTCCTTAAGACAAATTTAAATACACACCACTAATCTGAGTAACATTTACTTTTATAGTGCAGTGTCCTGCAGGAAGAACGGATACTGATTCTGGAGTTTACTATTGGAATGCGACAAATCATTCTACAATTGCAACAGTAAAATGTCCATTTGGGACTCTAGATACCGCAGTTGAAGCTATTGCCTCGAGGGAATGCGTTCTAGATGAAAATAAGGCTTCATGGAGTCCTGTAAATGCATCTTTATGTAAAGGAAAAGTGAGTTTTACCTTCGATTTTTCATATTTTTACCCTTTACTTTAGGGGGAACATTGTAGCAAAATTTTTCAAAATTGGTTTTCTTATTTTTATATACCAAGCGATTCCCGAAAGTTAAGAAATAAACTTGAAAAAAATATCGACGATATCAGTGCACAGAATCAAGCCGTGTTGACACGTTGTGCTACATCAGGAACTCTCGGATTCATGTGTCTCAAATCGGCAAATATCCTTTCTGATAGCGTCCATGTCTTTTTGCTCGTTTGTTACCGTAGTCTTTAATCTTTTCAGTACAGTCGGAGAAAAAAGAAAGATATCACCCAGAATAATTTTCGTTCTAATGATCGGATTTTCACGTACTAAGTGTCAATCTTAATTGTTCTTGGGGTGACCTCAAATATGCAAATTATTTACTTGTCAATTGTTAAAATTGTCAATTACCTAGAAGCTTCGAGTTTTTAACTATTATTAATTAAACCTCTCCGAGTAATCACAGAACATTATAGTTTTTAACTATTATTAATTAAACCTTTCCGAGTAATCACAGAACATTATTTTAATTTTTTTATAGTCTAAAATTAAGTATTTCTCCCTTGAATTAGTCTATGGGTTATCTTAAAATATTCATTTGTGGTAGCGACTTTACTTGGCCGTTTTCAAGGACTATCGCCAAATATATAAATCTTTATTGCGACCAGATTTACGACCCAAATTATTTGAAATTGAAGGGTGTCAGGATTGCTAATATGTAATCGAAAATGCTTTATTCAGAGAAAGTACATTTTTGTGTCTCATTTTATAACTTAATTAATAGTTAGCACTAATTAATTATCATATTTGACGTCCCCCCTAGGAACCAATAAGATTGACACTTAGTTCGTGAAAATCCGATCGTTAGGAACAAAAAATATTGAGGGTATCTTTTTTTTTGCCGACTGTACATCGACGTAGTAGAAAGTAGTCACAGTGTGCTTTTGGAGTAAAACCTCTGTATCCCACGCATCCTTCAACGTCGTAAAGATAATTCGCATCGTTTTCCTTTTGAACTTGCTCATCCTCGCCTTTTTTAGTTGCCGGGACGCCGAGTGTACCTTTCGCACTATGATACTTTGACATAGCGTCGTCCACTAATGTCTTCATTTTTTGTGCAAACCTTGATCGATAAACATTGATTAAAGGAATCAGTCATAGTCTTATGGCATGGACTCAAGTAGAGCTTGGAGATATATCGTGGCATATCCATATTATTTATTTATCGCCATAACCATATTAAGAATACATTCTCACGATCTGTCGTGAATACGATAAATATCGAAATATATCTACAAATGATAATTCCGAAATATACCGATGTTCGATAAATTATAAAAAAAACGATACTCGATAAGTACCGACTATATCGTGACCCAATGAATAAAGCTCACTTTCGTAAGGAACAGAGAAGAAAACATAATTCGTCATGTTTCACAGTTCACACGGATATTGACAACTGTTGCTTAGCGCTAGTTTTTCTTGGGGGGGGGGGATTGGCGTTATAATAAATGTATTGGTGGATTTATCTGTTCCAAAATAATTAGAACAAACAGAATAATTAGAACATTAAAGAAGAAAAAAACTAGAAATTAGTTGTTTCCGTTTGAATCTTTGAAAATGAGCTATAGAAAAAATATATATCTCGTACAGTTTTTCTTTAAATCTGACTCCCTCTTAAGAAATTAACTAAACGGAATATTTGTGGGAAAGTAACATTAAATCAGTAATGTATGTAATGTATTTAAATCAGTAATGCTTAATGCATGAACAGTAATTGAATACACTACCCTACAATAATGGGCGAGACACTTTCACATTTTGACATATATTTTTTTAAATTTTTCAAGAAATACTCAATGAATTATTTTGTAACTTTAGAGTTCTTTAGTTCATGTGATTTTTCATACTTTGCAATAAAGTTTAAAGCTTTCAAAGGTTCAAGGGAAAGACAATAAATTACGAAAGAAATCTAGTATTTTAAAACACCCTATGCCAAAAAATCTAGCAATAAGCTAGCAACTTGTATCGATTACTTTAATTGTTATTTGCAACACAGCATAAAATTTCGTAATTCTAGCTTATATATTTATAAAGATATAGACATTTTTATATTTGAAAAAAAAAATTCCTTTCGTTTTCTGTTATAACTTTAAAAATGCTCAGTAAAATTAATCAAAATTTTTGGAGCAATTTAAAATTAAATGCAAAAATTTTATTTTAAAAAAGGTTGAGTAAAACTACACAAGATATAAATAATTTAAAGGAGTACTTTTGTATTGCGCATGCACAAAAAAAATTTTTAAGTTATTTTTTCATAATTTTGTTGTGAATCGTATTTGGCAACTAATGAAAACAGTCTTATTTGAATATCTTAAAAATGTTAAAAGTTTTGAACAATTTTCTACGTAGTTTTTGCATTTTTTAAAATAAAGCTCAAAATAATCAGGGGTTTCTACAAATTGTGTTTCGTTCTTGCTGTCTATTTATAAGGTAGTGTCATTTGCAATACTACATGATAAAATTTGTGGAAAACCTCTGATAATTTTGAGCTATATTTTAAAAATAAATTTCAAAACAAAGTTTTTGCATTTAATTTTTAAATTGCCCTAAAAATATCGATTAATTTTACGGAATATTTCTTAAATTATAGCAAAAAAACGCAAGACAAAACAATTAGTTTTTATATAAGAATGTGCATATCTCTATAAATATTAGGCTTACAAAATTTTATGCTGCAATTGAAAATAGAATATAAAGCAATTTATACAAGTTACAAGCTTATTGCTTGTCTTTCTGTCATAGTGTTTTAAAAAAACTTGTTTACTTTCTATATTTATTGTCGGTCCATAAAACCTCTGAAGGCTTTAAATCTTATTGCTAAGTTTGAAAAATCGCATGAACTAAACAACTCTAAAGTGACAAAATAATCCTCTGAGTATTTCTTGAGAAATTTTAAGAAATGTCAAAAACTGAAAGTGTCTCTTCTATTATTGAAGGGCAGTGTATTTGTTTTAGATTTTGTTTAATATTTGGTAGCCAGTAGTTAAGATGTGTGATGTGACAACAATGAGAGAAGAAAAATAACCATATTATTTATATTGCAAAGATTGATAATTAAGTGATATTATTAGAATCCTTCTAAAATTTTTAGAAATTACAAATTATTTGTTAACTATTTAAAATATTAAAACTTGCATCCGTACATGCTTAAAATATGCTATGGAGCATCATCCATCTTGAATTATGCTACGCATATATGTTACAGGCAAAGTTTGAAATCCGGCATTGTATATAATGCCTATAACAACCCGGCAATGTATGAAACGATTCCTATTTCACACATTTCCAAGGTATTCCATAGAATGCCTAGTGAGAAATTGACAAAGTATGAAATTCATGTCCGAATCGTTTCGAATGTAATTCAAAATGTCATTCAAGCCTACCATGTTGCAACAAGTAGGTTATTTCAGTTTTTTATATGAAAATTTTGTTTCCCTTAATAAGAAAGCCATAAAAAAAATTTTAAAGGCATTCTCATTATTTTTTCAAAATAACGTTTATATTTTTGAGGAATGCGCTTCATTTATATAATAGACATATCAAGACCTTTTTTCATACTTTACCAATATGTAATAATTCTCATATTAAAGTAATAAAGGAAAGTATGTAATAATTCTCATATTTCATACTTTGCCTAAAAACACCCGGTATTATTACACAAATACCTAGGCATTCCATACAATGCTCGCGTTTCATACTTTGTGATGTGTTTTCAATATTTTTTGAAAACAAAAAAAAAGAAAAAAAAACAGAAAAAAAAGCTTTAAAAATTGTTCAACTTATTATTTTGCAAAACACATTATTATATACGAGAGCTTCCTGTTCAAAGCATTTGTTCAAAAATGCAAAAAGGACGAAAAATATTTGTTTATTGTCTGCTTTCCTTATTTCGAATTTAGGTTAAACACATCAACTTTCCCATCACGAAATTTAGATTAATATTTTCAAAAACTTTAGCGATCGACTAAGTTTAAGTTCAAAACTCTGTAAAACGTTATTTATTATTTTGATTATGTGCCATAATTTTATCTTCTGTTTTATTTTTATGTCTTTTTAAGTAAAATGTAAATTTCAGACAGTTTTCATTTTTAAAATTTCTTTTTGAGATTTAAAAAATTTTAATATTTAAAACAAAAATACATTTTTTATCATCGTGATGCTAGATTCATGTTTGTTTCCATGTTGTTTTATTAAATATTTACAACACTTTTTTATTTAGGGTTTCATAGTGGCCGATGAGTTGGCCAATGAACTGAATTCAATTACAAAAAATCCTAAATATTTGAGCTCGGAATCTTTAGAAGCGGCGTCTCAAGGAATTGAAACTATTTCCAAGTACGCTTCACAAGACAAAAAGGTAAAAAATTAATAATATTTAATTTTTTACTCTAAAATATTTTATTGGCTCTAGAACATTTTATATTATTTAATGATTAGCATTGAACAGCCTATCCTTTTGGTATTTACTGTTGACGATATTTTAACTTCGTTGCCTTATAATTTTGATAGACTTAAGCAGGGGAAGATATATCAAGATTTTTCTTATTGACATTGAAGGAATAAGTTGTATGGAAAATTAAAGCATTTGTTTATTGATTTAAAAGTTTTCAAACAGATGAAGAAAAATGTTAAGACTAGGAATGCTAAGACTAAGAATGCTAAGACTAGGAATGCTAAGACAAGGAATGCTAAGACAAGGAATGTTAAGATTAGGAATGTTAAGACTACTTACAATAGTACTTTATTAACTTAAAGCTTGTTTTTAGTGTGAGTTACTTTAGCTTGTGTTGATTAAATGTATATTTTTATTCAATAGATTTATAATTGATAGATATAGAATGCATTGTAATAACCACCCTTAATATATAATTTTAGATTCTTTGTCAAAATTGAAGTTAAAAAATTAAGTATACACAGAAAGGGAACAACGAAACATAAAAATATCTCTACCTTAATTTAACGAATCATTACTAAAGAAGAGAGACTGAGAGAATCAAAGTCTGTTTGAGTGCCGGAGGAAAAGATTGAAAGGAAATTATTGTTTTAATGACTACATTTGTCTATTTTTATATTTTTTAAAAGTTACTTTTAATTAAAAAAAAATTTGTTTAAAATATTGAAAACAGATTTAAATGATTTTGGAAATTGTTTTTAACGTAGCAAAAAAATATTTTTAAAAATGTTAAAACAAGCAAATATATGTTCTAAATTACCTTTGCCCTCTCATTCTGATTGAGAGGTGATTTTGTAATTCACATAGTTCAAAAGATACTGCCGAGTAGAGTGAATATCCGTCATAACTTTATAAAAATTAAAGAAAGGTAATTAAAAACATATTTATCATCGTCTTTCGCCGTCAGCATCCCTCTGACAGTTGAGATCGGTCTCGAAAAAAAGATAAATATATCAGTACTTATCATCTCATCAGACAATATCTCAAATGACTTTTCTGGTCATTCTGTCAATCGGGATATTTTTAGTGAATTGTATTGAAAAAAAAATTACAGGGGGTTGATTACTTTCCTAGTCTATCTTATGCTTAGAATGAGCAATTTTTAGTAAACAGCAACAAGTATCGTTCGTATTGCAGAAGAGACTTTTTTTATTCATTTATAAGGACTATTATAAAAATAAACTGTTAATTCTAATTGCCATTTTCTTTTCTTCTCTTTTTTAGCTTGCTGAAGGACTGCTGATGGTCATCAGCAATATAATGGAAGCTAATGAAAGCGTAATAAGGAAAGATGAGAACAAAACCTTTAGCACTTTTAGTGAAAGGTAATTATTACTATATATTATAATTATTATCTTTTGGGAGTATTCTTTAGAAAATGTGTTGCGACGCTTCATAAAACAACTTAGTCTTTTGAAGCTGGGTGAAAGCTCAGCTGTGTGAACCTGCAGATACGGGATTCTGTTTTTGTATTTGCTACATTTTCACCACAATTGATGAATTTCGACAATAGGAACACACAATTCTTTCATGCAGCCATAGATGGCAACACCACACATATCACTGCACTATTCATATCCAACCGAATCACTTGGGTGGTTAACTTTAATACTTTCCATCTCTCACGCTAGTTGCAATTAAACCAATAAATAAACTAACTAAGCTACACTCTACAGTTCAGATGTAACTTAACGAAACATGACTCAAATATAACTCAGCTTTTAAATGTTAAGGCAACAAATTACTTTAGGATGCACTGTTGACATCCCACACAGACATGTGTAATACTCACAGCTTCCCACTCAACCATTTCCTTCCCTTCCTTTTCTGAAAAAGGAATATTAGAGTAATGTTGCATAGCGCAATCTAGTTTTTGAGGCTGGGTGGTCGCATTGATTGAGAAACATAACTATTGCCGTGTGAACCGAAATTCGGAATTCTGTCCTTAACCGTCGCTATATACTTGTCACAAAAGAATGAGTAGGCCGGGATAGCCTGGTCGGTAGAGCACTGGGCCCATGTCCGAGAGTTCACGGATTCGAACCCCGCCGACCGAAGACTCCTCGTGTAGTAAATGGTGATTGATGCACGTTAAATCTGTCGAGTCGCAAAGTCCTCCATGTTCCCATAACAAATCAATACCTCTGGGGATACTGGATTGGCGATCGATCGTATCGTTCTCTGATTCAGGTCAAAATTACGATCTGTGGATGAATGAATGGATGTATGAATGGGTCCGCCCTATAAACGGGAGCGACGAATGGGTGTGGCAGAAGTCGAATTCTTGGTCATAGATGGCTCCTCCGGAAAATAAGAACAATCGCACCCCTCGACCTAAAACAGGCATACGCAACCACAACAAAAGAATGAGTAATTACCCATGCAAGTATTTATCGGAATGAGGTCAAACTCAAAAGGAGTAGTGTTTTAAAGCATTGAAAAATTAAAATATAACCAAGGTTGAACGCTATTAAGATTTCTCACTTTTAGCTGTCATGATTTGCGAGAACATAAGATAAATTTTCATGCAAATTTAAAAAAATACATCATCAAATATATAGATTAAATATATAGACATCAAATATTTTGATAAAATATAATGTTAAAGCTTATTAACTTGCTCAAATTATGATTATTTCAGTTTTAATTGTAAACTTCAATTAAATGACATAATTTTATTTTGTTTTATTTAACTTTAGCGCCCTTCAAATGGTAGATGATTTTGCCTCTAATGTTGAATTAAAACCAGGATCATCTGTCAATATAGTTACACCTAACGTTATAATTCACTCTATGGAATGGTTTCCAGAATTTGAAGAAGATACTGAAAGTGATCATCTTGAGCTTACAGCACCAACAAAAGGGAATGCCGTGGTAGATAAAGAAACTACTGCAAGAGAAGCGCATGAAGATGGTTCTGAAGTGATGTCTGCATCTGAAAATAAAACAACTCCTCCAACAACTCGGGCTCCCACCCCTTCAGAAAAAGTTCCGGTAAATATGAATCTCAGTTATATATAATTTATTTTAGTGTTACACCGAAGCTTTCGCAGAGGAAGTGCGAGTAAGATGCTCGTTTGGCCAAAAAAGTCAGATATTTGAAATTCGATTTCTCAGAAACTATTCGACCAATTTTGCTAAAATTTTGTACTTTGCCAAGTAAAATTATACTCTTTGAAATGATGCAAAATTATACTCTTTGAAATGATGTATACCTTACAATTCAAAATTTCTTTGATTATTATTATTAAATAAAATAATAAAAAATAATAAATATTTAATAAAGGTTATTTTTTGCATGGAACTATCTTCTGACAAACGAATTTCATAATTGTGAGCAAAAATTTTTCAATTAGCTGAAAAAGTTTTCGAGATATAGCGAAATACATAAAAAGTAAAATTAACATTAAAGGGGCAAAAATTTGGACCGCTCTCCTGACCGAACTACTGGGACCATATTCCCCAGATTGCGACTATCCCCTATATTTTGAGGGTCAGAAGTCTGAATCCGTCGAAAAAAGGGAATGTTTATTCAGAGAAATTACGTTTTTGTGTCTGATTTCGTATTTTACAATATCGTCTGCACTTATTAATTAGCATAGTTGAGGTTACCCAATCGAGCCATTAAGATTGAGTTCTAGAACGTGAAGATCTGATCATCAGATCAAAAGTTATTCAGAGTGATCCTTTTTTTTTTTCGCACTGTACATTCCTAAAATTTGTAACCCGTTTAAAAAAGTAATGTCTATTAACATGGCCATTTTTTTCCAAAGGTGTTTCAAGTCTTTGTGCCTAAAGAAGCTTTACAAGAAGCTCATCGGCAAATGGAAGGCAATGTTCGAGTAAAATTTGTCATTTACTACAATGACAAACTGTTCCAAACAAAACAGAACTTAAATCGCAATGAAGAGAAACCTACAGAAAAAGAAATAGCTACAAATGATAAGTCAACAGCTCCAAAGCCTAATAATCAGACAAAAGAAAAAGAAATCAGTAAGTAACTGTAATATTAGTAAGAGTGTGTAGTACATAAAATATTAAGTTTTGCTAAGAATAGCATTAAATAGGATTTGAAATTTACCCTCGCAATTTCATAACAGAACTAATTTTTAAATTTATATCTTTCTTATTTTGATCAATTTAGGCAAGTTCTTGCGCTTTTACAAGAAAACTTCTCTATTTAAATCTTAAAAAAAAAATTCTTTTCTTTTTTTTATGCAGCAATAATTTGAGAGTAAGCATTTCCTGAAACAATTGCTTAACCTTTTCAAGGCCCTATTTATTTTTTACTATTCTACAAATCATTATAAATTTTTAATTATTTTAGCTGAGAAAAATACCGAGATTCGTTTTGAACATGAATGCAATGACCGCAATTTTGGCTCTTCTTGACAAAAATTTGGGTTCAAATTTTTTTCTCTCGCAAAAAGTTAAAAGTTTAATTTGAAATTCATTAAAGCAAGAAAGATACAGCTTATATTATCTCAGTCCAAATAAGTTTCAATCGTGAAATAAAGAAAAAAGTTTCCGGTGTAAAAAGAAAGGTAAATAAAGTTTGCAGCTTAAAAATTCCGGTTAAAAAAGTCTCCGCAAAGAGAACCGAAGATAAAAAAAAAAGTGTACCCATACGGTACTGAATGAGGTTGTACCTTTTTACCGATTTTTAATTTTAAATATTTTTTTAAAAAGCGGATAAAACATTTTTTTTATTTTTATTGTAAGAGTAATATAATTCAGATTAGGTGTGAGAAGTATTTTTCTTTTTTTTTTAAATATGATTTTGAAGGCAGTCTATGTAACATCTCTATTATAAATAAATTTTAAAGTTGAGCTGATTACTTAGTTTAAATTAGCTTACATTTTCTTTCAATTTATAAATTTTTTTTTTTCATTATAAATATATAAAAAAAAGGAGATTTTAGGAGAAAAGGAGAAATTTTATCAATTATAGCATTTTCTTCGGTACATTTTTCCCTGTAGCCTTTTTACTGAGATCTTCTCATTGTGACCTTTTTATTTATTTATTTATTTTCCTATATTGAGCGTCGAATACTTCGTATCCAGTAAAGAGCTGATTCATTATATAAAAATTTCTTTATACTTTTTTTTGTACAAACAATTAGTATAGAATCTTGCATGCGTATTTTGTAAGTTATGTCATATTATACCATAAATTAAAATCATATATAGAATAAAATTTTGGGCATCAAAAACTTAGATATTATTCGAACAGGACTTTATTATTGCTAAAGGAACTTACTGTTAAAGGTATTTATCATTGATCGTTCTCTGATTCAGGTCAAAATTACGATCTGCGGATGAATGAATGGATGTATAAATGGGCCCACCCTATAAACGGGTGTGACGTATGGGTGTGGCAAAAGTCGAATTCTTGGCCATAGAGGGCGCCACTTGAAAACAAGAACAATCGCACCCCTCTGCCTTAACAGGCATACGTCAACAACAACAACAACAAAGGAATTTATTTTGTATTCATGTTTAAACCAACATTACTTTGAATTATTTCATTTANGATCAATATTTTTTTTTTTTTTTTTTTTTGTAAGAGTAATATAATTCAGATTAGTTGACAGACACAGAGTGAGAAGTATTTTTCTTTTTTTTTTATATGATTTTGAAAGCAATCCATATAACATCATATTATAAATAAATTTTAAAGATGAGCTGATTACTTAATTTTAATTAACTTACATTTTTTCTCAATTTGTAAATTTTCATTTTATATTTTTTTGTATTATAAATAGATAAAAAAAAATTATAAATATATAAAATATGAAACAGAGAAGATAACTTAAAGTTTATCAATTCTAAAATTTTCTCCCGTATATTTTTCCTTGTGGCACTTTTACTGAAACGCTCTTATTGTGACCTTTTTATTTATTTATTTATTTTCCTATATTGAGGGTCGAATACTTCGTATAAAGTCAAGAGCTGATTCATTATAAAAAATTTCTCTATACTTTTTTTGTACAAACAATTAGTAGAAAATCTTGCATGCGTATCTTGTAAGTTATGTCATATTATACCATAAATTAAAATCATATATAGAATAAAATTTTGGGCATCAAAAGCTTATATATTATTCTCAAAGGAATTTATTATTGTTAAAGGAATTTACCGTTAAAGGAATTTACCGTTAAAGGTATTTATCATTGATCGTTCTCTGATTCAGGTCAAAATTACAATCTGTGGATGAATGAATGGATGTATAAATGGGCCCACACTACAAACGGGTGTGACGTATGGGTGTGGCAAAAGTCGAATTCGTGGCCATAGATGGCGCCACTTGAAAACAAGAACAATCGCACCCCTCTGCCTTAACAGGCATACGTCAACAACAACAAAGGAATTTATTTTGTATTCATGTTTAAACCAACATTACTTTGAATTATTTCATTTATATTTCAGATATGCCAGTTCTTCAAATAAGTGTTGGAAACGTTTCATTGAAGAATATGAATAATCCACTTATTTATGTCCTCCCTTTGAAAACAAGCAGAGTACCAACTTGTGTCTACTGGGATGAACCAGGTAATATAATTTTCAATATAATTTTAAAAAAACTTCAACTCAATTATTTAATATATACGCTATATGTAATTGCGTATACGAAATATATTGCGTATATTGCGTCAGTACGAAAGCGATGTTTATAGTTTTCTACTTATAGTTTCGGAAGAAAGAAAAAAAATGATAAAAATATTAAAAAATATATTGAAAATCTTCCGAAATTAAAAAAATAATAACGAAAACATAAAATCTTGTCATTAGTTCACACGATTATATCCACAAAATTAGTGCTTTCCAATACTATTAACTTTGTGAATGAATAATCACCTTTCTCCTCCCTTCTGTTTTCTCCGAGAATCAAACGGTTTTTGATGTTTTTAGTCTCAGTTGTTAAAATTCAATAGCATTTTTGTATTTCCTGACTCATATATTAGCTTAGTATTCCAAATGTGTATACTTTCTCGACTTATACAAGGATTCTAAGCATTACATAGTAAGGGCGGTCAATAAGAAACACTCTCAGTTGAAAAATATAACCAGCCCTAATGCTATTTTCTAAACTTCGATAAAACATGGCATAAATTTGTAATTTTAAGAGATAACCATGATCGACAAAAAGTAACTCTATTCGAGAAAAATTAATGAAATAATCATTTTAAAATTATATCCTACTGTAAACATTAATTAATCAGTAACATAAAACACAGTTGATTTTTTTAGAAATGAATTTACAGTTTGTGATAAATTTAGTTTTTCTTGTTCCTATATGTGTAATTTTGCGTTGTTTTTCAGTGAAAAGTTGGTCTTCAGAGGGCTTGAAAACAAATCAGACGGAAACTAAAATTATTTGCCAATCATCACATCTAACAGCATTTTCTGTACTTCTGGTAAGATACATTTCTTAATAATATTTTGATCTAAGACGTGATATTAATTTCTTTTTACGCAATACCATGTTTTCAAAATCGATACTGGTGCTAACTCGAAGAAAGCAGAGTAACTTTTCCTACTCGTAACTTACTTGATGTTTTTTATCATTAAAACTTATAAAATGTTTTTTTTCTTCTTTTTTTTTAAAGTTTTTTGAAAAGGTTTTATTTTACTTTATAACTGTCGTTGAACAGCCGATCCTATTTTGGGTCTGAAAAGGTTTGTCATTCTGATTATTATGCGAAAATTTAAAATCCCATTCCATACAAACTTCAAAATGCTGTAAATTAGGTTTTTCATAAAAATAGCTCTTAAGACCTTCAAAATTCTGGTAAAAAAAATTAAGGCAAAAAATTTATACTTTTAGGGTAGAAAGTTAATATTTAAGCAAGGAAAATAAAAACATTAACGAAATATGACATATCACAAAAAATTTGCAGTTGGGGGTAGGCGGAAGACAATAGATAACGGGAGAAGTTAAAAGACAAAGGCAACAGACTACTTATCCAATATCACGTTCCACCGTGGCCCGGAGGCGGCACAATGGTGATCTACATATTTGCATGAGGACTATTGCAGTGTGTACCATTAAAGCCTAGCCTACTAATCGGAGATGTCGTTTTCTGTGGAACAGGGAACACCCGAACAGGAGACAAGAGCAATTGAGATTAGAACGCTTTTCGGATGAAGACAGATTTTGCTTTTCTACCGATTCTGAACGACTTAAAAGAACGGGAAATAAATCATGCTTGGTACCTGTATTCAAGAATGGTTCAGTTACATACTATTGTATCGATATTCTAATTCTTCATGTGCAACTTGTTACAGATGCTACGGGTTCCCGGTTACTTTTCATGAACGACAACGCTGCACCTCATCGTAAAGTGGCCATTACAAATCTGTCGGAAAGGGAAAATATTCAACTTATCGAAATGCCAGCAAGGTCTCCATATCAAAATCCGATCAAGCGCATGTAAAACACTCTAAGGAAGCGCTTGGCAGCTCGTCAACAGCCACCGATAATGATTCCAAATATACCATTGACGCTACAGTGACAAGTACAAGCCATGACTCCACATTTCTTTAAAAGCTTTGTTACGTAAATCCTACAAAACAGTCAGAAATGATAATAAGGTCTGTTAAAGTCTGAACTTTCTTTGTCAGTCACATGGATGTTTCGGTCTTTTGCTGAATTAAACCTAAGTTTTCTATTAAGTTCTTTTTATCCCTTGAATTTCTTATTTTTTTTCTTTTTTTGGTAAGTTTTGTTCTTTTTTCCCAATGTTCTTGTGTCGTGGGGATGTGGTGGTATTATTTTTGACAATTTGGAACAATTGACTTGTCGTGACTTTACTCGTCCTTAGTTTTCGCACAATAGGATATTTTTTTATGATTTTAACCCTTTTCCCTTCATTGCATTTCCCAACCTGAATCACGATTTAGGAAATTTGGAGGCGCTTTTGAGTACGCAAATTTTATGATATGCATAGTATAGATTATTCTTAAAATCTATATTAAGGACGGTACATCATGCATGGAATTTTAAAAACACTTCTGGTAATAAAAAAAATTATGTATCATTAGAAATGTTACAGAACATTTTCTAATGACAATTTAAAACCTTACTGATGAAAATTGTTAAGCAACATTTTGAATTGAAAAACAAAGAAATAATATTACAACAGGGAATGCTATTTACAAAACAACTTTTCCCATTAATAAGCTCCCTTATCAAAAACTTGGCGGAATATATAAAAAAAAGTATTCTGTATTTACTTCTCCCTTTATCATATTTTGAACCAAAAATTTTGAACTTTTACAGAATATCACTTGGTAAGTTTTTCTATTGGACAAGTGGTATTCACGTGACTTGCAGCATTTTACAAAGTCAGTTATTTATTCTCACCAAGTTTCAAAATCAATCATAAAGCTTGACAAAAGATGGAGCTGTCAGCTAATATAAGCACCAAAATAAATGAAAGAAACACCATTTGTAGCAAGAACGTGTCACAGTATGCGAACAAAATTAACATACACTCCTTCAAATAATTACAGTTGGAAAGATCTAATATGCAGTAGACAACATTGTTTAATAGTTTTTTTTTCCAGTCTGCAGCACTATCTGTTGACAAACTTGATAATTTTGAAACTTGAGGAGAATAAATATTTGGTTTCAAAACAGAGTGTAAGAAATCGTTAAATTCTATCTCCTTCCCATTTCTCAATTGACTCTTCAAATCATCGGTCATTTTTATTAACCCGATAATTTTTTTTCTCCAATTTCATTTAATTCATGTTAAATTTAAAAACACAATAAATAAAATAGTATAAATTGTTTTAATTTCAATTACTGCGTGTCCTATTTATAAACATAATTAATAAATCAATTAGCATAAATTGTTTTAATTTCAATTACATGTCCTACTCATAAACATAATGAATAAATCAATTAATATAAATCGTTTTCATTACTACTTTAAACTACTACTTGACCTAATAAAAAACATAATGATTAAATCAATTATCATAAATTGTTTTTGTTTGAATTATTTCATGTTGTATTTATAAATATACTGAATGCTTGAAATGAGAAATATAAATACACTAATTCTGTTTTAGGACTTCACACCTCAAGTAATGGCAAGCGATATACATGAAACTATTTTATCTATAATATCTTATTCTGGAAGTGCATTATCTATAGTTGGACTGAGTTCAACACTTCTAACATATTCAATTTTTGGGTAAGAAAAAATATATAATCAATATAATAATCAATAGACATCAAAAAAAATTAATATACTATCTCAATCATCGATACTAGTCAATATTCGCTGGAATATGTCTTAATACCACTCAAAGTGGTATTAAGACATCTACTTGCAGTTTAAGCAAGCAGTTAAGCAGTTGCAAGTATTATCTACTTGCAATTTAAATGGGTATACCTTAGCGTATAGTTCCCTGAAGTGTCTTATAACACTTCAATTATCATAAAAAATCTTGAATCATAAAAAATAAATTTTCAAAAAAAATAAAAGCTATCAATGCAGAGAGTTTGTGAGGGGAAAAAATATAAAAATTACTGATAATGCAGCTTAATTAAAAATATGTTTTTAAGAACTTCAGATTCTGAATTTTTTATGAAGTAAATATTAAAAGATGACGTTTTTGGACGAAAACGTGGAAATGACTCTCTTAATATATTTTTGAATATATTATCTATAGATTAAAATAAAACAAAAAATATTCGTTTGTTTGTCGATCTGGTATTGGTTCATTAAGTTAAACATATAGAAGTTTTAAAATATTCTATTAAGTGACAAATACAATTGATTCTTAATAAATTATTATGTGGTTCGTATGTTGTTGCCAGATTGTGCAATCCAGAAGTGCGTTGTCCCGATTCCCTTTTTATGGTGTTTCTTAATTCATCGAATTTTAAAATGAATAAAATATTATCATTTTAATCACGTTCCTTACTGTAGATGAAAAGGCCTGTATGTAGAAATGGTGATTTTATTATTCTAAGTTTATTAAAGGTTGTGTACGTTAATTACTAAGAAGGAGAATCCCCATTTTTCTATTACAAGGTTAGAAATTTGAGCTTGTTCAACTATATTCTAGTTTAAATTTGCTGAAGCCTTAATATGATGCTAAGCTGAACACTATTATCGTACAGGGTGATAAAGAAGCACCCCAAAAGTAAAATTAAACGAGAACAAAAAAACAAGTGAATAAAAATATTTTATTTCAATTACAGAAAATATAGCATGCCCAAAGCAAATTCAGTTGTTAGCATTTTCCTAAGTTTGAACGATTTATGTCCAGTGGTTTGTCAGATATTACACTTCCTTATTGGAGCACGTTTTAGTGGACTTAATTGCACGTTACAATAGGTGAACGTCACATGGCTCAATTTAACACTTTAGTAAGGTTTCAGCGAATTTCTCATCGTATTATACCTGTTAAATTTTACGCTTTTATGAAAGATTTTTTCCAATGGTAACAAGTTTATGCGCAGCTAGCTGTGTCATTAACTAATAATGTTCGGTTTCCGGGGGCAGCTTGAAGCTCGCTCAGCCTCAGATCTATGGGTACCAGCTTGTCTGGGAAGTAAAAGTAGCCAGTGCGCAATGATGAGCACGTTGCCACCATTCATTCCATTAGTTACGAAATTGTGAAGCATCCATAGCCTCCCTAGCTCACAACAGGCTGTAGCGAGAACGCTTTACTTTAGTAAACTTTATGTTTTAGTATTTTAATTACTGTAGAAAATTTTGATTTAAAAGACTTTTAATAACCGTAACACAAATAATTAAAAAAAGTAGATACACGAAAGTTATGAATGGTGACGTAGAGTTGTTAAGTACAAGACAAATCTAAGAAATAGCTAATTACTTTCTTGCCTTTAATCTGCTGCCTCACTATCATTGTTAAAAGAATCTTTAGTAAACATTGTAGGGCAGCTTTGTATTAAATTCCCCCTCATGTTCACTTATTGTTTTGTTAGACTTGATAGTTAAAAAGTTGCGAGATCTCTGTGGTTATAGGCAAAATAGTTGTGAACGAGCGCAATGTTGGCAACATAATAATCATGTCGTTGGTCACGAAATTGGGGAGTCGGAACTTCTGTAACCCTCCATGCCCCACAACAGGCTGTTATGGGAACGTTTTACAGTTTAGTTAACGTCGTACTAGACAACACTAAAAAGCTGACGATTCAGGTTTCGGCCTTAAATACACCACTAAAATACCACAATATAAATTGGAGAAATGGATTGTATTAGTGACCTTCACATCACGCTTTCCTACTACTCAGTCAAGCGTGGATTTTTTGGCTGTTAAACCGCTGGGACATAACGTCGGAAAAAGAATAATAGAGAGATTTCGCATTCGCACTAAGTAACCCGCACGGTCTCGTATGTAGGTTTTGCGTAAATTCAAGAGAGAACAGCGATTTCTTTGCGGTAACTATACTGGGCAGAGTTTACTTTCATGAGCAAGTGTAATATTATTGAAGAGTACGAAACAAGTTTTCCCTTATTCGAGGACCAAAATCAACTCGGGTAAAAAATTTTTAAAAAAATGTGTAGATGTTATACTGATTGCAGATATTCCCTTATTTTTGAAAAAGTGTTTTTTTTTTCTTTTGATCGTTTTTATAATTTTCAAAAAAAATATATTTTTTTAGATGTTTGAATCGTGATCATTCTGGAAAAATATTGTCAAATTTATGCTTGTCACTACTGTTGATGAACTTATCCTTCATATGCTTATCCTTTGAACCAAGAATTGGAGGACATGTGTGTGCTTTAGTTGCATTATTACTGCACTACTTCGTTCTAACATCATTGTCCTGGATGTCTGTGGAAGCTATAAATATGTATCAGCTTTTAGTTCATGTTTTTGCTTCATCGGAGACACACTTTCTTCTGAAAAGATGCTTATTTGCTTGGGGTAAGAAAATTTCAATTGTTTAATTAAAATATATCATTATGTAACAAATTATTGTTAAAAAAAACCGCGTTTATATAGTTATGAAGGGTGACCCAACAATCGCTCAAGATTTGAATTCTGCGCCATTTTTGATATAAAATGTCGCCAACGAAAATAAAAGGAGTGACAGATAATAGTTCAAGATTATTAAAAGTCAAACGCTACGTAGAAGAATAACGAGTTTTCAGGGTATAGCAAGAATATATAATAGTTTCACAGTTATTTGCGGCATTTGAGCTATAAAATATCACTAACGAAAGAGAAGAGGTGGCATCTGATAGTTTAGGCACCTATCTTAAATTGAGAGACAGCCTGTAGTAAAATCCATGGTAAAATCAATGGAAAGATTGTAAAAAAAAATCTCTTAAAACTGCTTTATTTGAAAAAGTCGAAAAGTTTTCAGACGTTATTGTAATTCAAAATATTAAAACACTATCAAAGTCTAAAATTATGAAATATTTAAAAAATAGTATTCTTACAATCGTATTTATAGAAATATTTGCAAAATGAAAAAAAAAAACTAATTCAACAAACTTATCGAATTATCAATCAAAAGTACTAAATCTTTATCAAACGATACTAGCTGCCACAGATAAAATTGAAAATATAAAATATTTAAAAATAATTCACATTGAAAAATTTAATTTCATGAGCTTAAGAAGCATTTAAAAAGTGTCCCTAAAAAGTCTTTTTATCAGTTTAAAATTAAAAACTATAAAAGGTTTTTACAGTTTTAGGCACTACTTAACTAATAAATGAGCTTCTAAAACTAGTATTGCTACACAAGTATCGATTTCTAAGAGCTTGGCTATTATGGAATTTGATATCTATTAAATAACCAAGCTTTCGTGCTTAACCAAATTCTAAATTAGTAGCAAATTGTTCTGGAACAATGAAACTATTTTAAACCTTCTTCTAAACATTTCGAAAGACTGCCTTCGAATCAGACCTTAAAAAGGAAATCAATCGCTTGACATGTGTTGCCACTGATAAAATTTAAAAGAATAATTAAAAATAATTTAGATTTAAAAAATAAGTTTCGTGAGCTTAAGATGCATATAAAAACCATGCCTAATAAGGCTCTAAAGGCAATAATAGGTTAATAAGTTAAGCACAGATTTACTCATTAACGTCAAGTAAATCTGAGTCAGATTAATTACATCTTGATAAATAATCGTGATTTGATAGTTTATTTTTCAGTTTTAAATTTTGCATATTTTACTCAATATAATCTAATTTTAGGACTTCCTCTCACCATCGTTGCAGTCACTGCCAGTTTGAAACTTGAAGCTTATTATTCAGGTTTAGCTTAGTAAGTATTATCAGTTTACACTCCTTGAAAGACGAACCTATACATGATGTTTCATAAACACCACCCTTGAATATAGTTTCAGAATCCTTATAAAAAATAAAGCACAAAAAAAAATAGATTTAGGAGACATTAATTAATATAAAGGAAAAGTAACAAAATTTTTAAAAAATCGTTTTCAAGCTGTGACCAGAGTCAAGAGTAATCGAGGGGTTAAAATAATCAAATATTAATTTATTTGACTTTGACGATGTGCAAAATCAGTACCTAGCGAAATGTGAATGTAAAATGAAAAAGGAAGGAAAATAAAAAGACTGAAAATATTTAATTCTATATTTTAAACTAGAAAATTTCCAACCCATGTCCCAAGGGGCCACCAAAAGGGAACCGATGACATTTTAATATCACGCTGAATTGTTCCCTTCAATTTAAAAAGTAAGTTCGATAAGTTCATCCTGTTTCAATCATATGAATGTCGATTCCCTTATCGATGTCTGAAGTTCCTCCCGGCTCCCCCATTCCGTTTGGAAATGTATCCTGCCCTGACTTGCCAATGTGCAACTGCAAATTGTCCTAGTGCTTTTTTTCCCCTTCTAAGTTAGTTAAAATTACAGTACAGCTGCCATATACTAAATAAACATGTTATGCACTTTCAAATGTTGACTTCTAAAATGTCAGTTTTTCCTGAATAAAAAATTTTTGGTTCAAAATTGTGCACGGCAATGTAGACAAAAATTTCCACTATTGCTTGTTAATAACAGTACCGTAAATGTTTTATTCTGAAATAAACATATTTATAAGACCACTATTTATTGTGACATGAAAATTAAACAGCTTCAACCCTTTCAGAATTGGTGGTACAGTGATATGATTGTTCATTGAAATTTTTAAAGTTTAAGATATTTTGCATAATAGGAAAAAACAAGATTTTGTATTCAGATTTTTTAGCCTGTTTTGTTAGGTTGACTTGAACGCAGAGAATAATGTCAAAAGAAAAAGAATCTGTTAAACTGTGACACGCCAATTACAAATGACATAATTTATTCAAGGAAAGATAAAAGAAAAAAAGGGCATAAAATAGTATATTCAAAATTAGCTTTTTCAACCATGAAGTACCATCATGTTTCACAAGTACCATCATGGTACTTGTGAAAATCCGACTATAAGATAAAAAGTTGTAAAGGTATTCAGCTTTTTTTCTTCAGCAAATTGTACTTCTAGTTACTTAACAGAAATGAAAGATATATCCTAAAAAAGCAGTTGTATCATAACTAGTTTTTTTTTTTTTTTTAAGTAGATATGTATATTTAAAACTTTTTCTTTTTTCAGCTGTATGATATCTCCCTTGGATCCTGTGCTGTATTATTGCGCCTTTTTAGGGCCATGTTGCATCATTCTAGCAACTAATACAACAGTTTTCTTGTTAGTTGCAAAAGTAATCTTTACACCAAGATTAACAGTCAAAACGTCTTATAGAGAGCATCCATCAGTTACTGTAGCTCAAGTGAGAGGAGCATTTACAGTTATGGTGTTACTAGGAGTAACTTGGGTATTTGGCACTTTGACAGTTGGTCGAATGAAGTTGTTTTTTCAATATTTCTTCTGCATCGCCAATTCTTTGCAAGGTTTCCTTATTTTCCTGGTACGTTGTCTTCTTTATCCAGAAGCAAGAAATGCATGGATATATTTGTTGAAAGCTGGAAAATTGAAAAAACACAGAGGTATCATTCCTCCTGGCACAGTCAGCTACTCTAATAATTCACACTGCACAAAAACTCCAGTTATTTCTTCTCAAGCCGGACCGCATACCGATAATGGAGATTTGTCACCCACAGTTGCTCTAGATAGAAGCCTCTTTGGAAGGTAAGTAAGAAACTTATTTTCAAATGTTTATTAAAAAATCTAGGTGCTTTTACGATGAATTCCTGTTTGCCATGAAATTGCTTCAAAATCAAAGGTAAAAAGAATATTGGCAATCGCAACACTCGAATACGACATCTGGAGAGAGACCGGTTTCATGCCTTTAGCCCTTCTCCCTTCCCTCTCCTCCTCTTTTCAGTTGTATAGGAATGTTCTATGATATTTTCCCTTTTCTTAATATTTTTCCTTTTTATTTAATAAAAAAAAAATTTTAAATTCCCGTGATACTTTTCTTTAGAACTATGTTTAATGTAGTTTTCAGTTCCGTATAGTTTTCCAACTTAAAAAATTTTTAATCTATATGAAAATCGCGAGAGAAACTAACGTACTTCCTTCCTCTATGACTNATGTGATTTTTCTAAAATCATTAAAATTGTATAATTGAATATCAACTTTATTAATTATGAACTTATCCATTATAATATCACTTTGCGCATATCCATTTTCGAGCAAATCCTTGGTAACTAACAAATCAAACGTGCTTCAGTACTGTATTACACACACACATATATATATATGCTGGAGTGTATAGATATGTGTTAAACAATAGAGAATAATAAAAATATTTTAAGAAGGGCGCCGATAGGGAGGATTGCCATAGGCGCCATTTTCTCCAGATACGCCTCTGTGTTCGTGAGCTAAAATTTGGACCATAAATTTCGACCGAGATAAATAAAAAAGTTCCATCTCGATATTAGCAATAAACAGGGTTATCGAGGGAATTACCCATACTGACAGTAATCTTAATAACAAGTTGCTATCAAAATAAAAGTCTCTAATTTTTGAGAATGTGTTCCTTATAAGATTATAATAAAAACAATTTTATTTTGATATTTTGTAATTATTGGGGTAATTACAGATAATTACCTTAATTGACAGCAATGCGAACTTATAAGTTCCAAGCAAAATAGAAATCTTAAATTTGATCCATTTGTTCCTTATCAAATTATAAGTATAAACTAGAAAAAATTTTACTTAGACATTTGGTAATAAGGTGGTAATCAGCTTAATTGATAGTTATGCTAAATTACACATTCCCACTAAATGTCACCATGATTTTGGCGTAACATAGTTTATTCCAACTTTTATGCTATTTAACCGCGAAGAGTGAGTTTGTGTAATTAGATAACGATATAGAACCACGAAGCGCTAAGCTTAAGTCGGTGGACTGACCGACCGCTACAGGCCGTCGTTACAAAAAAAGTTTCTACTTTCATTTTTTAAACATAAAAACCAAGGAATCATGTAGTTCTGGCAAAAATTATTCGACCAGTTTAAGGAAATAATTTTAGAAAAAGGACTTTTAAATTTTACATGATATACTGTAAGCCTGAATAAAACATGCTTGTATAACATTGCAATTCATTTATTTTAACTTGATTCAAAGTATTTTTTATTTTAAATCTCTCTGTCTCTATCTCTATGTCTGCCAAATTAAGAATAATTTTTTTTAAAATTTATTTATAATTTGACATTTTTATGCCAAAGATGTTTGTCGATAAAGTTACATATTTGAACACATATTACGGATGCAAAAATGTATACTTAGAGTTAGAGATTTGGCTATCTTTGTATTTCAGTCTATAAGGAATTTTATTCGTCTGGACTTCAACCCAGGTTCATAATTCCTGTTAAAAATATTTCTTAATAACTATTTTTATATTTTACTTTTTAGGAATGGACGGGTTACAAAAGATAATGGTCAAAAAGAAATCCCTTGTGCAATTATTGGAAATTCTTTATATGAACATGGAAGAAATTGTAAAGAAATAGAAGAGAATAATCCCGAGTACTACAATAGCTGGAATACTACTAATCCTAAGAGGATTCAAAAACATTTAACTAGAAAGGGAGACACGCATTTAAACCATAGTGGGGTACAATACTACAAGAAAAATGATAAGATTGATTTGCCAGTCGAAAAGCAATTAAGCATAGAATCTTCTATTTCAACTGAAGAGTCATCGGAAAATGACAAAACCTTTAAGCATCACAATTTATTTCCAAGAAAAAATTCCAAATTTTCTCTAAAGGCATACGGGAAACGCAAGCTTCGAGTAGCATTACCGAAGAATGATATAACAACAAGTGAAGAAAGTTTGGAAAAATGTAAAGAGAAGCAATCAAATGAGAATATAACAGCGCTTGAGAGTCCTGCAAAAGAAGGAGCAAAAACAATTCTTTCTAACATGAAAAAGCGTTCTAATAATCAGAAAAAAAATAAAAGAAATCAATTTTCAAACGAAAATGCAGAAACCCGATACAAAGAGAAGAAAGGAATACCAAATACAAAAAAGGAAAGTGTTTCTCATTTTCCAGGTTATAGACGTCGTGCATCTACTGTTTATGAACAGGAAGAATGCAACACTGATGATTCAACTTCAACAGATGTAGAAGATAGTCCATCAAGCTCGCAAAACAATGGACCCCAAAATTGCAGAAATGGGTGCACTGGTACTGATAAATCTTGGAACAAAAGTAAAAAGTAGAAGTATAAAAAGTAGTAAAAGATACGTTTTTTTTATTTAAAAAAAAACAAGGAATAACTTAATTTGCATGTATCTGCAAGAGGCGGTAATGTAATAAGCAGAAATAATTAAATAATGATAAGATTCAAAAAATGTTTCCCACATTTTGTTGCAAGCTTATCAAGTTTTATTTTCGTCACATTTGTGCATACATTTATGCACTACGGATAAATATACTTATATATTGAGCACAATGGATATTATCTTTTAATGTAATATGAGTTATTGTGATAACTACAGTTTCAGCTCTGTGAAAATTAGGATAATCTTATTATTTATTTGTGCTAAACATACTTCACAGTTTTAAGCTATTTTCATTTGTTAAAGTGCATTCATCTGTAGTATTTTTATGTATAGTAGATGACATTAGCACGCTGAACAATAAAACCATGTGTGCACCATGCCCAAGTATAATATATTCCTTATGCTTATTCCTAAAATATTGAGCATGGTTTGTATCCTATAAAGATGTCCACCATTCATTTCGCTTTGTTTTGTGATCAATGTATATTAACATAAAGCTGTTAAATGCTTCCAACCTTCTAATATCATGAATGAAGACTGAACTTCAGTGCTAATTGCTAAACGCCAAACATATAAAGTGTGACAAACACAGTAAGTGTTCATAGCTTTGAAATTTGTCAATTATATGTTTCATAAGAGATTGTAAATGGTGTATCTTCACCAGAGAAACGACTCTGATAAAAAAAAAACACCTTAAATCTCTTAAATTTAAAAGTTTTTCAGTACGATATCTGTGAAAGATTTTAAACTTTAAGGATTTATATACTATAAGGATGTCCATCATTCACTTCTCTTTGTTCTGAACACCAAATCAATTCATAAACACCTGGAACAATTTATAAACACCCGGACCAATTCATAAACACCGCAAATTGTTAAATGTTTCCAACCTTCTACCTTCCAAGTTACATGAATGAAGACTGAACTTAATTGCTAATTACAAAACACTGAACAGTAAAAGTGTGGCAAACGCACAACATGTTAATAACTTTGAAGTTTCATAAGAGATTGTGAATGGTGTAGGCTCATCAGAGAATGACTCTAACGGATAAAATACACCTTAAATCTCTCTTCTTTTTTTTGTTCTATGAAGTTCTATGAAAACTTGCAAAAAATACCGAACTAGTTTCCTAGAATATTATATATGAAATAGACATCTGAATTCTAGAAAAACAAACACTTACACACTCAGTTTTGAGTAAGAGCAATGACATGGAATATCCTTTAATTTTATAAACATTTTGAAACTGACTGTGAATGTTGCAACTCTAGTGCATAGCTCTTAAGGAACACAAAATGAAACAAAATAGGAAACCTAACCTCATCTGAAGAATAAATACTATGTTAACATACATAAATCCTAGATTGGAAAATGAACTCTGACTATAAGAATCACAAAAGTAAAATATGTGAAGCCAACTTCTTAGAAAATAATAAATGAAACCTAACTTTAATTTAGGTAAATTTTAACCTTCTCATATTTGACAACCATTGGCTTAATTAGATAGTGGCCAGGGTGAGCAACACCTGATCATCACATGGGTAGAAGGAGCCCTTGACCAGGGCCCCCTCTACTTTACCTTTACGACCTTTAGGAGTTCCTAACAACTTAAAAAATTTTTAATCCTGAAATCTGGCAAAATGAATTTATCCCATTTCATCTCAAAAAGACTAAGCATCAGTTCTCATATTTTAAGCTTAGCCATGAAAAAATAAAAAATGTTCTGCCTCATATAGGACATGATGACCACAGGGGCAAAAGGGACAACTGCCAAGGGCTCTCAAACTTTAGAGGCCCTTAAATATTAATTTTTAAAAAATTTGTATCAAAGGTTTTAAAATTTTAGTTATAACTTTATATAATTCATTGCTGATTCATTAAATACTTACAATTGATTTTTCTCCAAAAAGACCAATTAAATTACTAATGCATTGGTGCCAATGCTTACTTTAGTTCCTCTAAAAACGTAAAAACAATGTATTTCTATTAAATTAAAATTCTAATGCTGCATTCACACCAGTGTGTAAAGTACCGTGCATGCCATATGCTTCGTGTATATAAGCAGCGCATCAATCAAGTTTTTAATTGTTAAGGGCTTTTGAATAAATTTAACATCAGATCGGTGCAGCTTCCAGGCGTGTGATACGTATAGTACAAACTGTGCTGTGCACACATATAGACGTAAGAAATTTTTTATTAAAATAAAATCATTATAATTTTTTATTAAAATAAAATCATTACAAAATTTATATTTGGTGAAAATGGTAAGGATCTTTAAGCAATATTTTGTTCAAAGCCTCAGGATCTCTTAATTGAGAACTGAGGGTTAGTCAAGCCCACTCTAGAAGTTTTATTGACCATTCTAGAAATATTTAAATTAATTCTGTTTTAAATAACTAAAAGGGAAAAAATTATAAATATATATATATGTAACATAAAAAGCTTCAATTAATCTTTTTATGTTAAATCATTTTCTTTTATTTTATTAATCTAACCAAATGCTTTCTCACACTTTTAAATTCACATCCTGTCCTTAAATCTATTTTTGGCACAAGTATGCATTTATTTAAAAGCAGGACATTTTTCCCTTTAATCTTCGTGGGAATAACTCGACCTATTTCAAAAACCAATAGTAATTTCTAAGATTTCCCTCTTTTCCCCAAATAGAGACATTTACGGATTTTACTTTGCAAGATTTTCCCTAACATATAACCAAGGGCTTTATGAGCTTATAACACAGTGGCACCATAAACTTGTGGCTTTACCCTATATTTCCCTTAAGTGAGATAATATACATACAATATCAGTGTTACAGTTCATGCTTATAGAACTGTAAAGTGAAATTTTCATTATGACGACCAAATGCCTTTATCTATATCTTAGTGCATAGAAAGTAATAAATAAAAGTAAATTAATATATCTAACTTTAATTTTAAATAAGTCCAGTTAGAATATCAATATACATAATACCAACAATCAAAGTCTGATAAAAGCCTTACTCTCACCTTTTACAAATACTACATTTTACAAAGAAAATTTAAACAGCACTTAAATGTAGTACAGTTGGTAGATGACTAATAACATCAAATTTCAATTAGAAGCTATTAAGTGTTAAACAAAAACTTACATTAATTTAAGAAGCATTACTTTATATTACTTTAAGAACCCAACAATAAATTTTCAGCTTTGTCAGGAATATTTGTCGTTAGAATTTTCTTATGACCAACTAGAACATTTTCAACAGTTCATAGAACTAAAGGAAACTCATAATAAAAAACTTGTTTCTTTTAAGAAATTGTTTTAAACTATCACAAAACTAATTGATATTTTCCTTAATTTCATAGTTGTTAATGCATGCTCATGATGTATACAAATAAATACTATTATTAGTTTATTAACTCTATAACACCCAAAAATTTATAGACTTTAATGCAACTTCTATAATTATTTTAAAAATTTTGGTATGATAATATATAATTGCATTGATAATATAATTAACAGAAAATGAAACATTTAATAACTTCAATATAATGATTGAATTTTCAAATACAAGGTTGCAATCGTTAGGAGCGATAAGGCTCACTTGAGATGTGCAATTTTTAAATTAAGTTACATAACCAAGCATAAAAATATACTTTATAGAGATTAACATAAATTTTCAACAGAATTTAAAAAATTTTTTAAAAAAAAGGGGAGAAAACAGAATGGGATCAGTAGTTCAATCATTGAAGAGGTAACAAGTTAAGCCGGATTTTTTTTTTTCCCTTCAATTAAATCTTGGGAACTAATTACTTGATTCAAGATATTTCTGACACGACTTTAAAAATTGTTAATCTAAAGATACATTCTTGCAAAAATTTAAGAACTATTTTTATTACTTATAAAAACAGAACTTTGTTATGCGCATGCCAGATCAGAATTTTCTAAGATATTGCTTAAAAAATTCTTGTGAAATCACAAATTTAAGCAACACAAATTTTAAGAACAAATTTCTTTTTTTAAAAAAAGCTGGTACTCAAATTTGCATTAGGATACATACTAATACTCAATAAAAAAAATTTTAAAAAATCTATTCATTGCACTTAACGGGGTTTCAGATGGAAAAAAAATAACAACAAAGAAGTTTAACTTTTCAGTGTGTAGTTTTGGAAGAATTAAATTAAGATTTCAGGATAGATAATAGCAAGATTTATTTTCACAGAAGATATTGTTAAAACATACTCAAGATATTACATGCCATAGACTACTATTATTTTCCGTAACAAATATTTTGAATCTCTTATAGAGGCATGTTTATTAAGAAAATCTGTTAAATATCTCTTATATAGCATGCAGTCATCAAACGTGCTACTATTGAAGGTTTGTTAAAAAGTCAAAGATTAGTAGAAAGTCCGTCATCAAAACCTCCTCATATTTCAATGTTTTATATTAAGTATTTTATTGATGTTTTAACAGTTTTAAACAACAAAAAAAACCTAATGAAAAAGCATCTCATTCTATTAATGTATTTAAAAATGTTTTAAATCACAAACAGACTAGTAAACAACCAATAAATATGTCTTCAGAGGATCTTGTGGAATCAAACACATTTAACCCAATAAGAAATACAAATGGTAGATTGATTTCTCCTAATTTAAAGTGATAAATCTGTCTATTCCTCAAATTACCAGATATTTCAAGACCTAAATCTGTTATTTTCTAACAAATAATGTTTTTTTTTAATCTTATCAATGGCAATATGTTATTTAAAAATAGTCGTTATGACTTATCTCTAACTTGCCCAGGAGATTAACATATGACACAGTTTAGTTAATAAAATGTTTGATTCTGAATCTTGTTCAATTTCCTAATGCTCTAATTACTAAACTATGAACCACATTCCTTTTTTTTAATGCTAAATTTAATGAAAAAATGTTAATCAAAAAAGTATAATTCTGTGTCAATTACATACATGAAAATCTAATCATTATATCAAAAGTCATTCAAAGGTTTTATATGCTGGTTGAACATAATGCCAATCATTATTTCAAATAATTTTAGATTAACTGAATAATCAATCTTGAATTAAATAATTTGCTAGTACTAACTGAAAGACTTCCATATCACAATTTTTAATTTCTTTTAATTTTAAAGTTGGAACAATACCATTAAATAAAATGCAATGGGAGAAAAAGAAAAATATATATCCTTCTGAATAATATTTAATCTAAAGATTGGACACTCAGGTACTAGAAGTCATCTTAATAGTTCAAAAAGTAGATTTTAAATGTGCTTGGTTATTAATATCCTACCAACAAATTAAGTCACAAAATAAGCAAATCTCTGAATAAACATATCTTTTTATAACAAATTCAGATTTTTGACTTTCATAATGTGGAAGAAATATAGTACCAATGATTTTGCAAGCAGTTCAACAAAAAATTTGGCCCATCTTAAATTTAAATGAAATTGATTGAAAAGCTCCCAAGAAATAAAATTTCAAAAACATGACTTTTTGGGTTTTTGTTTCTCGGTAACTTTGTAGTTTAAAATAATATACTTTTTTTGTTTGATTTTATAATTTAATTCATAGATAGAACTAATTAGCATAATTAAAATCTATCTTCCAATTCAGATTTAACCTTAGTGCATAAAAGTTTGATCATAAAACTAAAAGTTATTCAGTGCAATGTCTTCTTATTTATGGCTCAACGTTCATTATAATAATATTTATGTTAATGTTCTGACTGTAAATAATTGCCTTTTTTATCTATTAATGCTAGTGCAGAGTAAAACTGCAAGTTGAATTTGCACAATGGTTTATTTATTTTATTTTGTTAACTTTAGATTCATTAAATCCAAATGGATTTAAAATTTCCATGTAATGAATGTTTATTTTTAATGTTGTGTTATTTGTTTTTTTTTCCTTTGTAAAACATATTTTTAACAACTTTTAAAGATTTTTATGCATTCTTTTTTTACTCAAACAACTTAGTGTACTTAAATGTGTTCCAGTTTTCTTATTTTATACATAAAGGCATTTAGCTTTAATTTTTCACTGTAATTTCTCAAATTCATGAGCTATACACCTCCGTGCACTCTACCCTCGTTAATATTTGTAACATTTGATCTACCCATGTAATGTTATTTATTGTGTCAAAATATTTGTAGATTAGTGTTTGAAAACTCAATATAAAAAGGACAGAGTAATGCATTAAGAAGATCAAGCATAAGTTCTCAGATTATAAACAGTTATCTGTGAAAAAATGACAAAAAAATTATTACATCAAAATCTAAAAAAGATTTAATTAATGGCCTAGCCAGCATGCCTTGTTTTTCAAACTTGCAGAAAGTTATTTTCTTTAATTCTTTTAATTTTGCTTGTTATATGTACATTTCTTAATATATCAGACCCATCTGCACTTCATAGACAGACCTCCATTCTTATCTCCTACTTCACCATGTTTATACTTATACTGGTTACCTAACCCATTGGTCAATTTTCTTCTTGTAATTTTCTTGCTATAACGTAATTGATTCTGTATTTTCCATTCTTATTTTATGTTTCCACTATGATGATATTAATTGTTAATATGCTGAAACAATGTTCTGTCCTTCTAACTTGTCTGTGCTTATCAACTTATGGTTACACATAGGAAAACTATTTCAAGCTAAAATTGTTAATAAGTTAACTGAAAAAACGCATAGTAACTCTTGGGAATCCTGTTTTAAGTATATTGATAACAAATGCATAAAATTGGTAAACATTTAGAAACATATCTGTGAATGAACATATCTGAAATCATAATTGTATATAATTCATCTTTAAGTTTCAAAATGCTTATTGTGTTGAAAAAATAATATATTCATGTTGAGAAAAAATCGAAATGGTCTTTGATAATGTAATTTATATGTATAATACATAATGAACTAAAACTGTAAGATTCTAAGTATTACAAAAATAACAGACATTAATCTTAAAAAGAAAATAAATCTGCAATAATCTGAAATCCTACCTCAAAATTGTCTATAAATTACAAATTTACATGGAAAAAATATTTATGGTATAAAAATGTTATCAAGAGTTAGCTAAAATGACATTTTCAAATTGTCACAACAAATAATGTTAATAAATTGGTAGCATTCAGTGCAATATTTACAGGACTTTTGTAAAAATGACACAATTAACGTTTTTGTTGGGACCAATAATTGCATTTTAACAAAAGCATAGCTTTAACAAAAATATTTCTTGAAAATATTGGATTCTTTATGTGAATTATTGTTATAATAAAGTTTAATGTATCATTCAAACTTGGAGTAAAATTGAAGTTAATTATTTTTTTTCTGTCACACACTGTATAAGTCACAGTAACAAGTATTTATTTTGTTAAATTTTATTTATGTTCATTAATTATATTTAATTATAACATTATACGCAATAGTTTCATTTGTAACATTATGATGTAAAATAAATATTTTCAGATTGGCTATGTTCTGTTTTTTTTTTTTTTTTTTTTTTTTTTTTTCCCATGTAGTAATTAGAATAGATCATTCAGAGTATACAATATATGCCTTTCTTTTTCCTCGAAAAAGGAAAAATAAATGTCAAATAGTTTTTGAAGTGAATTATATAATATTTAAAAAGGGTATAAGTATAATTTAAAATTCTTCAATTGATCTATAGCTTCCACGCCCTATTATTGTTGAAATGGGGCAGCTATAATGTGAAAAATACCATTTAAATAGAAAGTTGGATTTTAAAATAGCCTAAGTTCCGTTCAAAGTAAACATTAGTTTTATGAGTCAAAACAAATTGTACTAATTTAATTCGCCGAAACAGTTAAAAAGAATTAACTATAGTATTTTTTCTGAGCACAGTTCATTAATAAAATATTAAGGTGCAAACTAAAATAATCCAGTAAACTAATTAATTATTCACTAATTAAATTTAACACAATTTCAAAGAAAAATGGAAATTTTTTTAAAATGGCATACGCATTTTTCGGCATACGCATCTTACGCATTTTTCGGTATTGAAATTTTTTAAGTTGCATAAATTTCTGTATTTAAAATAATAATTATGCCAAAAACAAAAATAATTACATTTAAACCAAATCATAGAGCTTTTACTTTCTGATATCATTTTTAGAAATATTATATCTGTCAAAGTAAAATGTTAAAAACGCTACTGAGTTGAACATTAGTAGTCATAAACCCATAAAATTGGGTCGGCTGTTCAACAACGGTTACATAAAAAAAATAGACTGAACAATGTAAGTATTCTAGATTTGTTCATTAAATCTGGGGGCTTGCTAAAAGCGAGTTTGACTGTACTTTATATAGTAGTCATGCAATATATTGTACTTCTTAGGAGCCAAAAAAGGTGATAGATCCAGATGCAAGACAGAATTAAGGTCAGTGTAAAATTAGAGAAACGAAAAAGTACAAGGATATTATGATAAATTTCGTAAGTAAACAGGGTGATTAAATTAAAATTTCCCCTGTTAAGACCAACATAGATTCATTTCTGGTTGAAGTATGTCGATGAAACTTAGTATATACTTAATATTAAACATGGGAAAAAGAAATCTGCAATAAAATAAAAAATTAGGTCATAAGGGTACATATAAAAAACATGCTAGTGAAGTGAAACCTTATTTAAACATAGAGCATAATCAATGTACATTCCAGTTTTACCAAAACATGTTAAACAGAATTCAACCATAAAAAATGGTTTCTTGATCTATTACAGAGACATGACTGTTTCATGTTTGCTTTCAATTCAATTGATCTACTTTCACCTTTTTCTTACAACACATCTCTATCTGTAGCTTCCTATTGTCTTTGAATTTAGAAAAGAAATTAACCTTTTATTTTCTTTCTTCCGTAATGCTAAGGAGCAGAATGATATTATAAGTAGTGAGAACGGAGTTTCAAAACTGTTCAAAATTGCATTAAAGATTTATTTTAAACATAAAAAATGACATCTATTGATAGAAATATGAATAATTTTTATGATAGATATCTTTTTTCCTATTATCCATATAACATACATACCAAGTTTCATCAACATCAGTTCACCAGAATGGTCTAAATAGAGTACATTTAATTGAAATCAGCCTGCACAATCAGGGTAAAATGAACATTCTTAGTACCAATCCATACCAAAGATGGTTAGTAGTTCCCTATCCCCAATGCCACTTCAAAAAAATAGATAATATGAATTATTGTATTCTAAATTGCAATGAATTCACATAAAATGTTCATGTATTTCTTGAATTCTGGGAAATAATTTTTTTTTAAGGAGTATAATAAAAATAGAGATATATCGAAATCCATGACATAATCCTTTCTATTTTTTACTAAAATGAAACTCAATACTTAGTTTTTAAAAATACATATAAAGTTAAAGCTGAATTTAAATAAAAAGTTTAAAGAAAATGAATAAATTTTATTTTTGATCAGAATAATTTAAAATGATTAAAGGACATGAAATAGACTGAAAAAATATAACATGCTAATTTGGCAATTAAGATTTCATCTGATTTTTAAATCAAAAGAGCTTCATCACTCCATTAAAAAGGGTTATGCTTTAATGCCAAAATAATTAAATAATATTTGGTATACACAATTGTATATGAAAATACTATGTATTATGGTCATACAATTTTCATATAAGAAATAATAATGTTGTATCAACGCAAATAAGTTAAAAAAATAAGGATTCAATTAAAAATGAAATTAATTATCAAAACAATTATGTTTTTATAACCAGTAATTATAACTGTATTTTTTTTTATCAGAAAGAAATAAAACAATATCTTTTATAGATTTATTTTAATATAAAAAAGAACAGTATAAAGATTGTATTATAATAAAAATAGTCACAATGATATGTTACAAAAAATATTCAGTAGATTTTTTTTTTCAATTTGCAAACTTAATTTACATTTATCACTTATTTTATAAAATAAAAAAAAAAGACACTCTTACTAATTAGAAACAGTATGACAGTATTATAAAAATACATGTTAAATAATTTTTATGATTAAACTAATATAATTTTTTAATAAATATACCCCAATCACAGTTTAGACTTTTCTCCATCAAACACTGGTAAATTATCATGATCTAAAAAAAACGTATAAAATTAGTATGTACTTAATCTGAAAAAGTATTACACAAAATCATTAAAATAAAATAAAAACTGCAAATTATTGCAAAAATGCAAGTAAATTTCAAGCAGTCTCACAAAGCATATGTCATAACGCTCCAATGAAAATCAGAGTTGAAAATATTGTGAAAGTTCTGCAGTACTTCAAACAGGGCNAAAAGTGCGAGCTTTGCGCCAAAGTGACGTCACTAGAGTGACGTCAGAGGATCGGCGCGGCAAGAGATACTTCAAAGGAGTGAACCAGCCCTTCTATTCTCTTTAGCCCTGACTTCAAACGAAATTATAAAACAGGAATCAATATAGTTTTTCTTACATACTAATTTTGTGTTCTAGCTTAAAACATGGTAAAACTGATATTTTCAAAATTTTTCAAATAATTTAAAACATTAAATGAAAGGTGTACTGGCTTTAACTGCACTGTACGCAACTGGCATTAATTTCTCCTATGTAAAATATAAAATGAAAATATTATACTTCAAAGCCTTATTTGATTTGATAAACTAAAACGATTGATTTGGTTAATACACTATTATCACCTTACAACTTCACTTAATATGCACATGAAAATAAACACTCAACAACTAAATATTATTTTAGTAACACAAGTAAAATAGCGATTGCTCCCTTGTCTGTCAGTAATATGAAAATGTTGTGCTTCAGCAATATTTACATTAATATTATTATTTAGCTCTAAGTTATTTTTTGCTGTTTTTTTTTTATTTATTTTTACCTACTGATTCAATAAAAGAATGAAATATTAAAGAATTAATATAATATAATTTAATATGAAATATTATAGGCAACATGTTTTTAATTAAAATATAATGAAAATAATGAAGAGGAATAAAAATGACAAATGGGCTGCACAGGAAATAGTAAAAGTCTGTTTTAGTACTAATAGTTTAATAATAAATAAAGAAAAAAAAAATTTTTAAAAGTTCATTTTAACAAAATGGAGCTTTAAATTAAACAATATGCTTATTAACAAAAGGTAGCATTAAATAAAATAATAGACAATATTGAAAATGATTTTCGAATCATGTTCGGGCAAAAATGTTTATAAAAAAATGCATTTTGAAAATATTACAATAATGAATAAAAACATAACGTATATATATAGCAGACATAACGTATAACGTATATATATAGAAAGCAGACATTTTACTACCACTTTAAATATAGAAATAAAATTTTGCGTAAAAGTTGGCAAGTATGTATTTAAGACATAAATTATAATCTTGTAAGTTGAATTTAGAAATTTCAGAATTTGAGGAAACAACTCTAATTGCTCAAATTATCCTTAATTATAATTAATAAAATTTTGTTGCTTAATAAAAATGAATATCTTTACTTTATGCAATAATGGCTCAATTAACCCCTTAACGATTGGTTAATTTTCAAGAAAACGGTCATAAAAGTGCCCATTTCTTTGGCTTTTGTATTTGTATTACATATTTGATTAGTGCTGCAACTAGTTTAAAATAAACTATCTATCTACAATTCCCTTAAAAATATCCTGGTACTGCCATCAGGTGTGCAAAATATGAAATAAAATGTTTTCCGGGCAAAAGAAATGAATTAGTTCTATTGTTATTGGTGCGTTACTACTGAACACTTCAGCCCGTCAATATCACGGGAGTGAGAAATAGCAGGCGAAATCTCACCCCGTCATTTTCACGGGAGCGAGAAGGAAGGGGTTAAATACAAAAACATAGTGCTATGTCACTTAAATTTTAATTGAAGATTTCTTCTTATAATTCCTGAAAGGTAACTCCATGGAAATTTAATAAGTTAACATAAATTATAGAATCTTGCACTGAGATTTTCATGTTGAATTAAATTATTCCTAATTATAAAGGGTATTTATACAGAGTGTTCAGTAATGACCACCCTTGATAAACATTTTTAGAGCCATTGTTGAAATTCAAGTAAAAAAGGGAAACAAATTAAGAGCTACAAATTCATATTTAAGTAGCGCAAAAAAAAATACCAGATTCAATATCAACTATAAAAAATATTAAATACAATCTACAGAATTAATATCACTAGATTTGATCTCTTACTTTTTTCTTCAAAATGTGAAAAGAATAAATTAAATAACAATAATAAAAAAATAATACACAACAATGAATAAATGAAATATTGATATAAACACAATACTCTCTACTTAATGTGATTGCGGTTAATGTAATCAATTGCTCATAGCCATCTCCAGATTTTTTTCTATTCATTCTTATATTAAAATTGTTGCTATCTCTGATCATCACATCTTTTAATTTTATCAATGGTATTTTGAAAATTAATTTGACTGCCTAAGAAATATCCACTGCATAATCCAAAAAGAACCAGTCCTTTTCTTACCTTGCGTTAATGTTTACACTTCTAAGAATTAACCCTATTTCACCTTAAGTGGTTTTAAACAGCACCTAGACAGGAGAGTGGTAATTGTCTTTTAATTCCATGTGATAATTTTCATCCTGTCTCAAGAGAACGGGGTCTTATCTATACCGAGAACGAGCATGCCAACATTTAATGCGCTCACTTAATAAAGTTTAACAATTTGTATAACAGAAAGCAAACTGATTTAACATAAAAACAAATAATAGATATTTTAAATCATTATGATAGATTATTAAAAATGAGTCAAACCAATACTGAAGCACAATTAAACATCTCTCAGTCTCTCTCTAGTTTGAAAAATTTTGATGTTCTTCTTGTATCATCTTGGAAAAATTGAAGACTAGCAATAGGAAAACTTACTAACAATGAACAGTTGACTTTTCAAAAACAGATCATTTTTATATTTTTAAAGTAAATATACAATACCTAAAACACAAGGTGAGTTCTTTTCATTTTATTTTTAAACTCAGCATGAGTGACTGAAATTAGTAAATTAATTTAATTTTTTGGTTAGTGTATTGTTATCAATCAGTTAATGCTGTATAAATCATAAAATCCCAAAGTGATCATAATAAGTGGAGACTACTCAACATGCAATAATAATAAAATTGAAGCAAAATAAGAAAGATAAAGCAGCTAAAATTGCAATAGGCTTATTATTCCCAAACTGATAGTTGAACCCAAAAAGATGAGAAAACAAATTAAAACTAATATCATGCACTAGAGCTCAAAATAACTTAATACTTTACAATGCAGACAAAATACTTAAGTCTGCATTGAGTAAAATATGCTGACTACAACAATGTTGCTTAATTCAAAATATATATAAATATATTCATATATAAATCTTTGTCATACTGAGGTGAGACAAAAAAAAGATTCAAAGGCAAGAGTTTTCTAATCACAGATTGTCTGAAGCAAAAGAACGGCAATGGAAAAAATAAGTAGCAACCCTAACCGGAGGATTAAGAAAGCTTCCACACTGAATAGGTGTAAGATCATATTTAATTTCTTATATTTTCCTATAAATTTAAATGAACTCTATTAACATCAGCAGCTGTGATATTAGTGAATTGCAAATGATATATTAAAATGTGGCTTTTTGCCTGATTCAAGTAAATAGGACAGAATTTGAAATTGATTTCAAATTGTAATTTAATATACAATCAAATTGTTCAATTTAAATATACAAAAATTAGGTTTTTTTAGAAAGCATTGAGATTCCAATTTTGAAAGGAGAAAGAAAAAATACTAAAATTCTTGTGGAATTAGAACAAAATCACGTATGGTATTTCATTTTCTTCTAAATTTGTATTTTAAAAATATTATTCCTTGAAAAAAGTGCAAGAAAACAATGCTGTCAAACAGGGAGTCACCGCTTAACTATCAGTAAAAGAAGTATGCTTCACCATACAAAACATAGGTGGCTACTACAAACATCTCAAACAAGAAGGCAAGGGCCGGGATAGCCTGGTAAGTAGGGCATTGGGCCCATGTCCAAGAGGCCGTGGGTTCGATCCCTGTCAGCCAAAGACTCTCCGTGTAGTAAATGGAGACTGGCGCACATTAAATCTGTCGAGTTACAAAGTCCTCCATGTTCCCATAACAAATCAATACCTCTGGTGTACTGATCCAGGAGTTTCCGTGTCTTCTGGATTGGTTCAAAATTACAAGGCAACGGAGTTGAACATTAGTAGTCGTATACCCAAAAATTGGGCCGGCTGTTCAACAACGGTTATAAAAAATTAAAAAAAATTAAAAACAAGAAGGCAGTAATTTTAAACACAATTTACATTAAGATTACAGGGATGTAAACCCTATGCCCAGCAAGCCAAAAGTAGCATGCAAAGTCATTTGACATAGCTTTTGAACAAATTTAAATATTAATAGGAAAAAAAATCAGTTCTTGAAAAAAATTCTGTTAATTTAGAATTGTCATTAGTTTTTACTGGTCATCCTGTTTTGTGTTTACTTTTTGTCTCAGTGCAAACCTGAGCTTGATTGTAATCTAACTTAGGAACAATAAATAACTCATTGAACTTTTACTTATTAAACTTTTCGTAAATTACTTTAAAGTAACTATTACATTTTTAAAATTTTGCTTATGCCCTTAGACTAAATGTTTGCTGTAAAATGCAATTTAAAAGATAAACTAAACTCAGTGGCGCGACAGCCCATAGAGGGCAAAAGCCTACTGAACCCACCTCAGTTTTCTTGACCTTGGGCTCTGGGGTGCAGGAGCAGATGTTCCGGTCACGTGGTCAGCCGAATGCGGAACCCCCAGTGTTCAGTTCCCAAGCATGCTTGGTACTCATTTATCGACCCACTGAAGGAATGAAAGGCTGAGTTAACCTTGCCCGGCCCGAGGATCGAACCAGGGACCTGTGGCACGACAGTGCCAAGCGCTGCCACTCAGCCACCGGGCGTCAAAAAGAAAAAAATTCAAAAGTTAAAAATTATTTTTAATTTTTTTGGTAAGTCCTATAACATTAATCGGAAACTGTATTAGTAATAAATTTTGTTTTCTAAATAATAAAACTCATCTTTAGTCTTAATAAACTGCTTTTAAATCTTGTACCTGTATTTGTTTATATTTAGATTGAATATATTTTTATTACTAAGCTATTAACACCTAAATAAATGAGTTGCAAGTAGCTTGTTTAGTAGTAACATTAATGTTACTTTCAAACAAAATCTAAATTTACCTCATATTTTTACAAAATCGGTTTGTATAACTTTTTTTCGTATTTTAACTAACTAAACTTTTTGTGACCACTATCCAAAAAGGACTTAAGTGTAACTTGATTATCTTCTCTTCAGAAAATTAAAAACTATGCTAATCATTTACATCCATAATAGTTCATAATTTCTTGTATGTGTATTAATTTCTTACCAGGAACTTTCCACAGTAGAGGAGAATAAAGTCTTCCACCAGCATCAACATGAAGTGTTTCCCCCGTAATAAATGATGCACCAGGAGAAAGCAAAAAACAAACAGCAGATGATATCTTAAAATAATATAAATGAATTTAAAATGAGCAAGGAATAGAAATATTTATACACAGTAAAAGACTTTAAAAAGATAAAAAATAAAAACGGCCCAAATATCTGCATGCTTAAAAATAAATTTGTTTTTGTTAAATTATTGAAAAATAAATTTTTAAGCACAGTTAGTGAAACATAACAGTTGGTTAAAATACATGATTATTAAAAGATATTGCCAAGGAAAAACAAATACAAGTAGTAATTAAAGTATGCCTATTTAATCCTTAAATCAAGCTAATAAGAATGACATTATTTTCCTCCTATTTACTCAAATATTTTTAATGAAGACCTAATGAGACAGTACATAATTCAATTTCAAATAAACATCATTGTTATTAATAAATAGCAAATAATAAGAAACAATCGTGTAAAATAACAGATACAGAAATTTATTAACAGTTAAATAACAGGAAAAATAAGCTTAAAAATGCAGTAAATATCTTTTAAAAAGATTTTTAAAAAAAAGCAAAGAACAACTAGAATATAAAAAGAACCTTGGCAACTGTTTATAGCATGAGCTGTTTCTATTTGTAAGCAAGATGCTAATTAAGGTAATTGAATATACAGGCAAACAACTATTTAATCAAACAACATATCCAAAATATGGGAAAAATCCAATTGAAAATGCAACAGACAAATTAAATTGTATAATATAAAAATGTATCAATTTCAAATTTTAATAATTCAAAGAATGCCTCATAGAGACAAAATCGTTTATTTGGATGAGAATTAGACCAAGAGACAAAAGCAAGACAATGAAACTTGGCAAACAGATTATAATTACAAACAGGCACTCAAATCATATAAAGCAATACTATTTGAGCCTTCCACTCTTAAAGCCTCTGGGTCTGATTTCCTCTAAATCAAATTATTTTGTTTTAACGTGAAATTTGTCCAATACTTATAATTTCATTTTTTAATCAGTTTGACCCAGTTACAAATTTTAAATTGTTCATATACATAGTGGCAATAGATTTTTTTAAATATTTTCACCTCTATTCAATTTTATATGTGTTTTTATTAGTGACTTGTACTGCAAGTTCAGACCTGAAGATTCCTTCCTTAATCGTTTTTATTTCAATTCATTCTACTATCATATTTCATGAATATTCAAGGGTTATGAATATTCAAGGGGCATTTTGTTTAACTTACCCACCAGTAGAAATTGTTCAAACAATAACAGCAAAACTTCTTTTGATGAGTATATTGACTCGTCTGTTACTCTTACCCACTTTTTGGGTACCTCAAAAGTTGTTGCATGTTTTAGTTTATTATGTTTCAAATTGTGAATTATAATTTATGTCATTTATGCAACAGCAATGATTCACATTAAATGTTTACTTCATATAAAGTAAAATTTACAATCAAAATGTTCTTCAAGTTTGAAATTCTAAATTGCTTATTCTTAACATACATATAAAGAAATGATGATAAATGCTTACTTCTTCAGGCACCCCGAGGCGTTTAGAAGGAATATTTTCACTAACCATATCAAAAACATTAATTGGATAATTCTTAGCAGCTGTTTCAGAATATATGGAAGAACCCTTAACAATGCAAGAAATTAAAAACAGACAAATTAAAATTATTGAAACAAAAAACAAATCGACAAAAAGAATGAAATATTTTGAAACATACAGGAGCAACAGCATTAACTCTTATGCCATTCGATGCCCATTCAATTGCTAAAGATTTTGTCAAATTATCTAATCCACTTCGAGCAGCTCCTGAATGCCTATAAAAAAAAATATTTAAATAAATTAAAAGTTTGTATTGCATTAGAAAATTCATCACTACACAAACAATCTAAACTGAATAAATATTTAATGCAGAATATTATCTTGAAAACCATTAAAAAAGGTAAGTTTTTCAATATAGAAAAACCACCTATCACGAGTCCATATTTATGAAGACTTTTGATTAAACTAGCTAAATTTAATAGTATGTTTGATAAAATGTTATAAATGCATTGGAACATACTTTTTTTGGAGCAATTTCTTTTCTTTTTTGTCAAATTTATTGAAAAATAATTTTGGAAGCATGAAAATAAACAAAATTAATGACAAATAAAACAAAAATTATTAGAAGTATTTTTTGCATAAAAATTTTGAAATATGCTTCAGGGTCATTTAGAAGTAGTTGAATCATTTTTCTTAGTTATCATCAACAGGTATAATGATGCAACCTTCAGGGTGAATGGCAACCAGACTGCAAGCTAGATCAACCCATTTTTCTCTTTCCTAGAAAATTTGAGGGGTTTGACTATCGTGAGAAAAGTACCTGAATGGTTGCAAAAGCATTTCCAGTTTCAGAGATACATGTAAGAAAAGCTCATTTCTTGTGCTTACTTTTTTGTTTGTTTTTTTTTGAAAGCGCGTTCTTTATTGCGCTGATTTAAGTGTCGAAAATTATTCACCTAAAAAAGGCGTAGCTGAAATTATAAAACTCTTAGAAAAAGAAGAAAAAATTTTGTAATATGTAAGCAGTACGGAATTTCATCTTCTCCTTCATCTCTTTTGAAAAACAATAAGGCTTCAATGAAAGTGTAAGAAAAAAAATTTAACTGATGGCAAAAGGTTAAAAAAAAGAAGAAAAAAAAGCAGGATGAAGGATTTGATGAAGTTCTCTTAAAATGGTTTGCTAAACAAAGAAATTCTAGTTTGCCAATAACTGGGCCCCAAGATGAAAATTCAAACTACACAAATAGCAGCTCTTGAGCTAGGTTACACAGAATTTTCATACATTAATGAATGGCTATATAGTTTTAAGCAACATCATAATTTTAATACAAACATGCCATATAAGGACTACTTTATTTTGCAACAGTAACTTTATTCATGGCATGAAGTTGTAATATAAGTCTCAACTGAATTCACTCATATACAAAACATAAATATGAATTAAAGAAAATTTGAGAAATGAGGCATATACAAACTAAACATCTGTAAAGATGAAAAAAAATACTTTATTGCACAATACTTTATCGTAACACCATGGGGGTCACCGGCACAGAGTTTGTTCATAGCACCACGGGGGTCACTGGTGATCAACGAAGTCAAGATTATTAGAAACACATAATTCAAGTACATTTTTAATGCTTTCAATTTTTTTAATATTATTATGGTTACTAAATGGATTGAAGAAATTAATGCAATACATACTGAGAAAATCATTTCGGCTAGATGGGCAAGCCATGTAAAATTAGCGTGGCATTCAAGGTGATAAATAATTTTCTAAAAAAATACTTTACTTACATTTATTATTTTCAAAGAACTTTTTGGCATTGAAATTTTGCTTTTTTGTAGCTGAAGTCAAATGCTGACTAAATCAACTATGAATTTAAAAATCTAAATTGCACAAATTTTAAATATGATGCAAAATTTAGTTTTCTTGAAAAGCTAAACAGGAACACTACATTGTTGAGCAATCATTCTGAGTGCAAAACCTTCAATAAAACTTTAGAAACAATGTGAACTAAACTGATTTTATATTGTTATTAGCTTGCCGTTTGTCACAAATTTTTTTCTTGTTTATTAAGACTTCTCATCTGTTTAGCAGTAAAAATGGCTACTATTTTTCCTAAGAGATATATTGGATCAGTTAAAGAATCTTATTTATAAGTATACTTTTATCTATGTTTATTATAAAATATTAATCAATTGATGTACTTATAAAAGAAAAGAAGTCTCTTCATGTCCCTCTGTTGCATAACAGACAAGAAATGATACCTGTTATAGCTGTTCTTATTTGAGATTAATATAAAGGTAAGTTACATTGCAACAGAAATTTATAATAACTATGGTTTTGAATTTAAACAGTTATAACATTTTAATAAAAATAACTTCTATAACCCATCTTTACTTCTGAACAGTTACTAGCCTGGCTCATTGGTAAAATTTAAATCAATAATGATCCTAATGGCATTTGTCATGTTAAAGTCATTTTAAATTATTTAAAGTAATTATTTTTCTTTTTATGCAAAAATATATTTTAGGAAATTACTAGAAATTTTTTTTTCCAATACGAAACAAATAAAAAAAATGAAATGATTTTCTTAAAATTGACCTGAGCCATAATAATAATTAATAAAAGATTTAATAGAATAATTTCAAAAAATTATTACTAAGATAATAACATACGCCATCATTGGTGTACCTCTTTCAAAATCCATCAATATATTGATGATTACACCACCATTGTCTTTCATCCATTTATCATATACTGAAAAGTATTTAAATTGTTAACTACAAATGTGAATATCTACAGGGTTGTCACAGTAAAAAATGAACCAAAATAGTTGCTTTTAGTAGCCTCAAGCATGAAAATAGTTGCCTAAAACAATGAAAATAGTTGCCTGAACAGGAACAAAAATCTATCAAAAATAGTAGCCAAATAACTAAAATTATAGCTTAATTGAAAAATACTATGACTAGGACTGGGTGATGTCAGAAATTTTAAATTGTGATACATCGTCAGTTAGACATCGCGTTAAAGTGATGTATCGCGATTTAGCATATGTTCAAAAATTACCTATGGGAAATCTTTCAATCAATCAAAAATTAATAAAAAGGAATAAATCTATTACGAAAGAAAATATTAATTCTAAACATATTCTACTATGACCCCAAGCTTTATTTCATTTTTCTTGAATTAAAAATAATTTAAGATTTATTGTTTTAAAAATAATAATACTGTAACAAAATATTTTACATACATGCAATGAAAATTAAAAGAAAAAAAAACGAAAGTGGAAAACAAACCAAAGAAATGTTTACTTTAGAAAAACACATTTTTTTAAAATTATTTGTTGGAAAAAAAACATGCTTTTGAAGCATCATTAGACCCTTTTTTATTTAATTATTCAAAATAATAAAAGGTAGTATTAACTAATAGTCAAATTCTGTACTTAAGAAATACTTATTCATTATTATTTTCTTTGAAAATAAAATCGACTAAAGATTTATTTGTTTAAAAATGATACTGACTATCTAACAAATTATAAAACAAACAAATATTGAAAGAATTTCAATAAAAAAAAAATTAAGTATTAATGTCAAATTATTAAAAAAGCGACAAAACATTACTAAACTCTTTATTTAATTAAAAAAAAGTTATTTGTTTTTTTCTTTTCTTTTTTTAACTAATAGCCAAATTTTTCAAACTTCGTTTTAATTTTCTCAAAAATAAAAGAAAACTAAATAAATGTAAGCTTTGTTGTAATTTTTTTATAGTTAAAAACGATTGGACATTTATTGGTTTAACAATAATTAAATTATTATACTTACCAACATTTAATAGATTTAAAAAAAACGAACTTTTTATAACAAAGTTAAATACGAAATACCCCTATTAAATTGTATCGCTTAAAATGAAAAACAATAATGGAAAAAAAATCAATGAAAATCTTTTTTTATTTTATTTATATTTTCGTTTCATTGATCTATTGAGTTCAGAACGAAAATTTAAGATAACAGCGATTGTGCAGCAATCGCAAAGTAACCGTAGGTCTACTAAAAATAATTGACAAGAATCGTTAAACCCAGACAGAAAAAAAAATGGTATATCTGATGGTAAGTCTGACTGAAAATAATTTACAAAGAACCTGACAATTATTTCTGACAAAATAAAATGCACAACAATTGCAAAATGACTTGAGTCCCATAATCTTCAAAAAACGTAAAATCTAAAAGACAAAAATGGACATAAAGAAACTGTGCATTGCGTTCTACATAACAACGCTGATCCTCGCACGAAACTGGGATTCAATTCGCTCTTCGTCATTCAACATCACGAAACTAACATCATCTTTATAGCAAAACGCTATCTACATCTCTGCAGCAAGACGAAATTAAAATCGTCTTCGTCAGTGCGGTAACAGCGCTAGCCTAGTCAAGGATCCTTGCATATTAAATAGTTAAACCGCGATTGTAGCCTTATTCCGGCTGTTTAAATCAAATTTCTGATGCATCGCCTAAAACGAAAGTCACTACATCGGCCTACCGATATATGCGTTAAATCGATATTTCGCGATACATCGATTTATCGCCCAGTCCTATCTATGCTCCAATTCTAAATGTATACCTTTTTATATTTGTACAAAAAAGTTTTGTACAAATATAAAAAGGTATACATCTTAGAAAATAGGTACCTAAATAAGAGTCGAATTACAATAAAATATGAATGTTAATAGAAGGAACAAAAACAATTAAAAATAACAAAACTGCCCCTCGGAGAGAGAAAATAACAAGTATACTTTATTAAATCTAAAGGAAATATAAATGTTTGGCTTTTTGGACATAAATAATTGTATAAAAGTTCGCTTTCTTTTATTATCGTTCTGAAAACTAACGTTCATTTATGCGAAAAAACTTCGCTAAGAGTAAAAAAGTCTCCTAATAGTCGCCTATTCCTGAAAATAGTTGCTTTTCTAGCCTTTTTAGGCAAAAAAAAGTCGCCATAGTCGCCTAAGGCTGAAAATAGTAGCAAATAGTCGCATTTTAGTCGCCTGTGGCAACCCTGTATCTACGATTAATAAATGTATGTGTCAGTGATTAATAATGCTTTATATTCATTTTGTTTTCTTTTAACAGTATAAGATTTGCTTAAAATGGTTTAATTTTAGCGAAAAAAATTTAAAAAGCACAAAAATTATATTCCTTTTAATTAATATAAAATATTGTGAACTTGTTAGATTAGTACTGATTTTTTAAATTACTTATTAAATCTTAATTTACTTTTCTCCATTCTCTTATGTCATATTTTCCTGAAAATTTAAAATATTATAACATTGTTCATTGCCTTTTATCTTGATAAATTATAATCTTGCAAATATGACGCAATTTTTTCTTTTAAAAAAAGTTTTAAATATTACCCAAAGTTCATTTTAGGTGGGGTTAGAGGAACGGTGCATCCCGTTTGCCCTTTGAATAAAACATTCCGCCCCATGTGCCCGGAGAATCTGAATATGCCCTCCAACATAATAAATAGGGACGGCCTACTCGCGACAATTTTTTGGTAATTTATTTTCTGATTGTTTTTTGGCAGAAGTAAATTATGTTTCGGTAATATTATAATTTTTAAATTTCAAGTATAAGGGATGATTTTTATCTTTTTTTTTAATTGAATATTAGGTGAACATGAAAGTAATGACGTTTTCGTTACATTAAATTGTAAAATATATTTCAGCAAGTTTTTTGCTTTAATCAATTATGTAAACGCTATCAGAAACCAGTTATCCAGTTATTAGAAGAAAAACTTTTTTACAATCAAATTAACAAATTTAATGTACGAATACTTAGAAATGGGGAGTGGAGGTACGTTATTCAACATCCTTGAAAGTAAAACTAATAATCAGTAAAAAATAGCATTTCTGATTCTAGTTTAGGATATAAAACATCTAATTAAGTAATATATTTAACAAAAACTTAATAAAATCAATGGCAAAAAAAAAAACTAATAATTACCTGCCCTGGACATCAAAAATGGACCCTTTAAATTTGTTTCTATGACAGCATCCCATCCTTTAGTGGTTAGATCACCAACTGGACAGAGAAATTGTCCACCTCCATTGTTAATCAAAAAATCAATTCTTTCATACTTGGCCAAAGTTGCTTGAACTAAATTTTTAACCTAAAACAATATGGTCTGTGACTTAATTGATAATAGGGTTTGAAAAAGAGGCTCAGCTCAGAAAACACTGAATATTTCAAAATGGGCTCATCTGATTTTGAAATTCAGTCATAACTCACACTTCATTTTCTTTTCATTTGAGCATTATCTTCTGAGGCAGACAAAATTTAGAAATATCTATTGGCAAAGGTGAAAAAAGGGGTCCGCAAATAATGAAGAGAGCCAAATTAAAAAACTTTTTGTATTACTAATTGCCATTAGATTACAATCTATCTGTGGTTATAGGGAATAAATAGAACTTATGATCTTATCACATTATTTACTTTAAGCGTTCATAAAATACAATATATTTAAGATAAGATATTTTACAAAAAATTCACTTATGCATAAAATTAGAAAAGTGCCAAATTTTAATACTTTAACTCTTTCGCTACCGGAACGCCCGAGACGCCTCGTCAGCTAGACTACCGAAAACGCCCGAAGTGCCCGTGAAACTAGTTAGAAATTTTTCCCCCTTTTTGAAAAGTGACGCACAATGAGGGAGGTGAGGCAGTAATCGTCCTTGAAGGAATTTTATGAAAAGGGGAGAGAAAAGAGGGATTTTTCAACAAAAGTTCTTTTCATATCATTCTGTTCTTGTAAAGTTGCTTTCTCTTGCTTATTTTATATAAACGAAAATGTCTTTTCGCCGTAAAGGTCTTTCGACCAAAGAAGCTTTGAAAATAATTTTCAATGATGATACAGATGAGTCTGATTTTAATGAATCAGGGGATGATGAAGAATTTGATGATGTGGCTCCAACTGAAACCACCATTGCCCCAGCCCCTGACGATAGCAGTAATAGTGATGAGGAAGATGATGAAGAAAATCCAGTTGAATTTGATTGGACATCTGACATAAAAAATGAAAAGATTCTTGTTAAAGATTTTCGTCTAAATTCAGGGCCAAACCATGGACTACTACCCGATTCGTCACCGTCAGATTATCTGAAGCTCTATTTAACTGATGAACTTTGTAAATCAGTTATGGAAAATACAAACAAATATGTACATTTTTTGCCAAAAACAGAAAAACATAGAGGACACAAATTGGAGCTCATTGACTTCTATTGACGAATTGTGGTGCTTTTTTGGCATTTTACTCATCATGAGTTTGGTAAAAATGCCTAGAATAAGTGATTATTGGTCCCAAGACACCATATACGGAAATTCTATGGCAAAAAAACTGATGAGTAGGAACCGTTTTTTGAAAATCAAGCATTATTTTCACATCTCTGACAGAGAGTCAGAGTTGCAGAAAACGGATGAAAACTATAGATATTCGCAAAAAGTTCAGCCCATGTTTGATCAAATCCAGGAAAATTTAAGGAAACACCTAATTCCATACAAGGAACTTTCAGTTGATGAAGCTTTATTGAAGTATAAAGGAAGGCTTGGCATAGTACAGTATATGCCCCTAAAACCTGCAAAACGCGGCATAAAATTATGGATGCTCTGTACATCAAAGCATGGATATGTTTTGAACTTTGATCTATATGGAGGAAAACAGGATAATGTCAAGAGAAGTGGAAAAGATTTGGGATATGACGTAGTGATGCATATGACGCAAACTTTGAAAAATTCAGGCCACGTTATTTATTTTGACAGATTTTTTCCAGTTCAATTTTAATGTATGATTTATATCGATCGGGTTCTCATTATCATTTTAAAAATGAACTAATTCACAACATCGAAACAAGTCATCTGATTCAACGTAAACGTCCTTTTCTAGATTATTCNCACGTTATTTATTTTGACAGATTTTTTTCCAGTTCAATTTTAATGTATGATTTATATCGATCGGGTTCTCATTATCTTTTAAAAAATGAACTAATTCACAACATGGAAACAAGTCATCTGATTCAACGTAAACGTCCTTTTCTAGATTATTCACCAACCTCAGCTAATCATGTGCATAAAAGAAGAAAGATTGAGGGTCGTAAAAGAATCTGCATGAATTGTAAGAATATGAATAGGAAAACTCTTTCGGATAAAAGCATTCAAAGCACTTGGGAATGCGAAACATGTAAAATGTGCCTGTGTAAATCATGCTTCGATTAATTGATATTCTTATACTGTGAATAATAATATCCTGAACAATTTTTAAATTGCGTTAAATTTATATATCAAAGCCATTTTGTTTTCATTAACACTGTTAGAGAGGATGCATATTTGCCTAAAGCAGTTAACCTCNGATGATGAGAGAAGTGATCGAAGAAACCAACCAACGCGCAATCGCAGCCGGAGTACAACCGCCCAATGTCCACCTCGTCTTTACAAACCGTGAAGGCGACGATCCTCGACGATTCAACGCACCAGTTGTAAACGAAATAGCCGCAGTCTTGACTCTCAACGCCGATCAAAGCATCCCAGAGAATGAAATGGTCATGCGAGAACGCGGGAAAAAAATCACGCAGCTAAGCAACATCGATGGTCGCGTCGAGCCTTTTACCTACCCGCTTTTCTACCCGAGAGGAACTTTTGGATTCTATGTTGGAATGCCGCTGCACACGCCTTATCCATCAAGAAATCATGTTACACGCGCAGAATTAGCCTGTTACCGACTCGCCTACCGTCCGAATTATGCCAAGCCACTCCCAATCGATTGCACAAATGCAGGAATAGATCAACGATTGGTCGAGTTTAACTCTTTCGCTACCGGAACGCCCGAGACGCCTCGTCAGCTAGACTACCGAAAACGCCCGAAGTGCCCGTGAAACTAGTTAGAAATTTTTCCCCCTTTTCGAAAAGTGACACACAATGAGGGAGGTGTGGCAGTAATCGTCCTTGAAGGAATTTTACGATAAGGGGAGAGAAAAGAGGGATTTTTCAACAAAAGTTCTTTTCATATCATTCTGTTCTTGTAAAGTTGCTTTCTCTTGCTTTTTTTATATAAACGAGAATGTCTTCTCGCCGTAAAGGTCTTTCGACCGAAGAGGCTTTAAAAATAATTTTCAATGATGATACAGATGAGTCTGATTTTAATGAATCAGGGGATGATGAAGAATTTGATGATGTGGCTCCAACTGAAACCACCATTGCCCCAGCCCCTGACGATAGCAGTAATAGTGATGAGGAAGATGATGAAGAAAATCCAGTTGAATTTGATTGGACATCAGACGTAAAAAATGAGAAGATTCTTGTTAAAGATTTTTGTCTAAATTCAGGGCCAAACCATGGACTACTACCCGATTCGTCACCGTTAGATTATCTGAAGCTCTATTTAACTGATGAAATTTGTAAATCAGTTATGGAAAATACAAACAAATATGCATTGTTTTGCCAAAAACAGAAAAACATAGAGGACACAAATTGGAGCCCATTGACTTCTATTGACGAATTGTGGTGCTTTTTTGGCATTTTACTCATCATGAGTTTGGTAAAAATGCCTAGAATAAGTGATTATTGGTCCCAAGACACCATATACGGAAATTCTATGGCAAAAAAACTCATGAGTAGGAACCGTTTTTTGAAAATCAAGCATTATTTTCACATCTCTGACAGAGAGTCAGAGTTGCTGAAAACGGATGAAAACTATAGATATTCGCAAAAAGTTCAGCCCATGTTTGATCAAATCCAGGAAAATTTTCGGAAACACTTAATTCCATACAAGGAACTTTCAGTTGATGAGGCTTTATTGAAGTATAAAGGAAGGCTTGGGATAGTACAGTATATGCCCCTAAAACCTGCTAAACGCGGCATAAAATTATGGATGCTCTGTACATCAAAGCATGGATATGTTTTGAATTTTGATCTATATGGAGGAAAGCAGGACAATGTCAAGAGAAGTGGAAAAGGTTTGGGATATGACGTAGTGATGCATATGACGCAAACTTTGAAAAATTCAGGCCACGTTATTTATTTTGACAGATTTTTTTCCAGTTCAATTTTAATGTATGATTTATATCGATCGGGTCACTATGCATGTGGTACTCTTATGCAGAACAGAAAAAATTTGCCGGAAAACATAAAACAATTAAAATTAAAAAACGATCATGAGAGTGCATCTTGGCAATGCCTTTCCTTACCAAATATGCTCTGCACAACCTGGATCGACAAAAAGCAAATATACATGCTCTCAACAAACGTTAAAAATGAAAACAAAATAGTCCAAAGAAGAAAAGGATCTGAAAAAATTGATGTATGTTGCCCAGCATCCTTTGAAACGTATAACAAATTTATGGGCGGTGTAGATCTAGCGGATCAGAATCGTAAATATTATTCTGTTAGTAGAAAATCGTCAAAGTGGTGGTATTATCTTTTTTCCTTTCTAATAGACACCGCCATCAATAATGCATTTATTTTGAAGAAGATTTCAGAACAGTCTAAAAGTAAAAATTCTCATTATCATTTTAAAAATGAACTAATTCACAACATCGAAACAAATCATCTGATTCAACGTAAACGTCCATTTCTAGATTATTCACCAACCTCAGCTAATCATGTGCATAAAAGAAGAAAGATTGAGGGCCGTAAAAGAGTCTGCATGAATTGTAAGAATATGAAGAGGAAAACTCTTTCGGATAAAAGCATTCAAAGCACTTGGGAATGCGAAACATGTAAAATGTGCCTGTGTAAATCATGCTTCGATTAATTGATATTCCTATACTGTGAATAATAATATTCTGAAAAATTTTTAAATTGCGTTAAATTTATATATCAATGCCATTTTGTTTTCAATAACACTGTTAGAGAGGATGCATATTTGCCTTTCATTTATTTTTACCTTATTTTGAATATCATGTTTTATTTATGGCATTTAAGTTAGAAGTTTTTTATTAATTTTTTTAAAGTTCTTAAATTAGTAAATACATGGTATCGAGTTATAATAAATTAAGTAATATGCTTTATTTTGTCTTCTTATGTCAAATATTTTGTTAATCATAAATATTGCACAAAACACTTTTCAGTTAATTTTCGAAACTTCATACTTTTGACTTTATAGCATAAAAAAGATAAATT